TAGCCAATGTCAACCTGTGACAGTGTTCTTTTCTCTCCTTCTTTCTTTGTAGAACTTTATCGATTCTTTTGGCCAGCATCTATGTCAACTATGCTGTACCTTTTACTCTTTTTTTGAAGTAGTGTGTTCGCTCCATTTGAATAGTTTAATAGTATTAGAAAATATAAGTATACTTACGAAGTTGTCATTTGCGTAGTCGTAGATAGCCTCCTATACGGTTCATAAAGAGAAAGTGGAATGAAGTATACTAGCTAGCGTAAGTATAAGAAATATAAATAAATTACTAGTATTAGTATTGCTAGTAGTAGAAGGAGAGCTAGCAATAGGAGCCAATTGTAGTTAAAAATCTCTATATTGTGACGGCGCGGCTCAACCGCTGGTTAGCATTGCTCCTATAGCTGCATGATTCTTGGTAGTGCATAGTATATTCTTTGCGCCGCAGCCATCCTTTGTATTCTAGTTCTTCTTTTTCCTCATCTTTGGATCTTCATTCAATAATAGGGTCATTGTCGCTTTGCCGCATTCCTTCTCTCTATTCGCCATGACATATATTACTAAGAATCACTATATTATTAAGAATCTCTATATTACTAAGAATATTTCTAAGATTAGCTATACTACTTATTACTATATTGAGTAGTCTTATATTAAAAGAGTAGTAGTTGTGATGGCAGCCTTGCAGTTGTGCTTCTCGACTGCCATCACAACTATATAAGACCACTTGAGCGACTAAATTGCCAGCTTCAGTTACTTGTATCCTTTTGGAACATAGCCTAGTGATGTAGTAGTCCGCCAGCGCCGTGACAGTAGTAGTTATTAGTTTAATTAAGTTAGCATTATATCAATATATTAGTAATAATACAGTTATAAATATTAAAAGGGATTATACTAAGAACTATTTAGTAGTTTAGTAAATAATAAACTATTATTTGGGTACTAACTTATTATCAACTTGGTTATCATTATTTGTTATTATTATTTATTGTTTGCTGCAATGCTTTAACTGGCCTATAATAATAGCACCAGTATAGAGATGCTATCGTGAACTATGCACTTGTAGCAGAGCGGAGCGGAAGCGGTAGGAAGTACAACGCCAGTGCTGAAGGAAGCAGCGTAGTACCAAAGACAATATAGGAATGTTATAAAAGAGGTCTTAAGAGAGAATTCTGCTTTTAAGACAGAAGAGCACAGTAGACTTTGCATTGTGAGAAACAACTATTATGATGAGCTCTGTACTATAGAAGTAGATTGTATTATATTGCTTTAATTGTGCTTGCTTGCTTGCTTAAGAAGTGACTAACTAAAAGAGAGAAGTTTTTATATACACAAACGTTAAGTATTTAAAACCTTCCAGAGTGTAGGAGCTTCTGTAAGTTCATAGGAGTACTTGTAGGAACACTATACCATAAAAGAAATAAACTGAATCTATGAGCTTCTGGTACATTCCATGGTGATAAATTAGTCTAAAAGGAATGCTAAACAAGTTAGAGAATCCCAGAATACAGTGACAAAATCTTTGTATTCTAGTACGTTCTGTGGAGGCTAAGTAGACTAATTCTATAAAAGAAATAGTTCAATTAGCTTTCTATACTACAAGGTAGTACAAGGCAGTTACAAGGCACAGTACTAGCTACACGTAAACATTTATAATACATATTGTAGTTATAATATAAAAAGCTTTTAATACTATATTAAAAAACTATATTATTATTATTCTTATTCATAATAATTATATAGTCCTATATAAAATAGCTTGAAGCTTCCACTATACTATATTCCATTGAAAATAAGCCAGTTTTTTTTATTTCAGTATAAAGGCCATATTCTTGCAACGAACGACCTACCCTCCCAGGCATTTTTTTCCAATAGACTTGCACATATTTTACACACGATACACGCGAGCCGATCAGGCCCCAAGCCCCGCCGCGTATGTGTATCATCCCTTCTAACGATGCGCGAACAGACAGAATGTAAGGTACATATCGTTTCGTCGTCGAGAAGCAGCTGAGGATAGCCTTCATAGCGAGACTGCGCGCCGTTTTGTATACTCGAGTCAGGTTGTGACCGGTTGTAACAACCGGGATACATATCCCGTACTCATCATGCGAGAGATATATTGGATCAGGGTATGTCATGGATCTCAAGTCATGTCTCTGGAACTGGCTTGTCACGAGCCTTTCGTAATCAACTTGTATTTCTGACACATGGAGTACACTACTGTATAGGTTGCTGAGCGTTGTTCAACCGTTTGAGTGTACCCACCGTAGATAGGTAAGTAGAGGTTTCTATTGTTACACAAGTAGTCAGTTCTCTTCAATTCCAACCCGCAAACTCGGTCCTTTGTTGTTCGGCCTGGCATAATACAGATGTCGATACCACACCTGGTGCAAACTGGAGAAGACTTCATCGGCGGTCGTCACAGCACTTTTCACCCCCTTCGCTTAGTGATTTGGTACTGTGCGGAAAACGACATTGTCCTTGAGAGATGAGGGCAAAGCCTGGCTCAGCTGGTGCCTTGGAGGTCTCATCTGAGAAATGCAGCTTTCCCTGGTTTTGGTGACCGTGATGTGCTTCCCAAAGCTCTGGCTGCTGCCCATATCCTGGGCTTTCACATCACGGTGCTCCACCCGGGCGGCAGAACGAAACATTCTAGACTCGCAGGTCGAGATGTAGGGCGAGCGAACGAATCGCGGCAGACCAAAGGAGGAGAAAGCTGGACCCAGACAGGAAAGACAGAAGAATGTACCTTCTAGAGGTTGTTTCGGATTGTTTGGTCCTATCATTCTTGCCAACTTCGGAGGAGCAACTAGTTGTAAGGTAGTGTACTTCCAGAACTTGAACTGAGCTCCCATATCGCAGGAACGGCTCGCTGAAAAGCTTGTCGATTCAGGAAGCTACATCTGCGTAGCAAGGGGACAAGGATCGCCGAATGGACGGCAAGGAGAAAATGACTCGCCTGGATTGGAGCTGCTGCTTTTGCCATGCTGGAGGTGCAGTTTTGTAGGTGCTATCACTGTACATCCAGTGCCGTCTAACCCTTGAAGGCCCCGCAATTTGTAACGCTGGACTAATCCCCGTCCACGTCGTTCGCGGGAACCCTTGACCCCACAAACCCACCGTCAAGGAAGGATCCACCCCTCAGTTGCTTCAGCTTCAGGCAAGAGCAGTGCAAAGTGCCAAAAGTGCGTGCAGCTTCTCAGTCATCGCTGCTTGGACCATCCTCTGTCAACTCCGTCGACCTTGCATCTGCTCGGAATGAAAGTCCTGTCTCAATTCTTTTTATCAAATCCAAGTCAGCCGTTTCCAATACACCAGTCCAGAGGTGTTTATCATGGACCCCGATGACACTTGAGATCTTCATACTGTCTTCCCGAAGCTCTACGGAGTGGCTTGACCTCACCCCGGGGTCAATGCTCTTGTTGTCGACATTGGAAGGAATGGAACAGCATTGACGAGCAAGGGAAGCTCGAGTTCCCAGCTACCCCCAGCTCCGGTTGCTCCATCAGCTCCATCAACCCCATCCAGAACCCGGCGCCCAATCATCGCCATCTGTCCGTCTCGATTGACCGATTCCCCTTCTGGCAATGCTTCTGACAGACACCCCCAGCAACCCCCCTCCCTCGACCGGGACTCTGCCCATCCGACGCTCAATCGAGTCAAGCAACTCGAGACATGCCCCAGCCATCAACTGGCAGGCCGTTCCTCATCCAGCTCCTGGACATCACTCCGTCACCTTTCCAGCGCATAGCAGCGCCATACATAGCCACCGCTGCGGCCATCTGCTTTCATGGGGGCCAAGGCAGTTCGCGACCTCCCGACGGCCAGGTGCTGTCAGTCACTACCTACTACGACAGCTCCGTGTGGGTGGGAGACGGCTATAGTGACTGACTCAGCGCAGACCCCTTAAAAGGCAGCCCGAGGTACGGTAGCATTGTTCCTGCTACAAGCTCCCGTCACCTTTAATCGGCCAGGGAGTTACTTTTTGGCTGAAGTTGGGATGCTTGGATCTACCTGCGATGTACCGTCTCGCGAGCCTTTCAGCCCGTTCTGGCCGCTGGGAAATCAGGGACAGTCAAGCCAGTTCTTGACACAGCATTTGGGCGCTCATCCAGGCACCCGTGGCACCAAGGCAGCTTCGAGTCGCTAGGAAACGCCGGATGCCCATCCAACATTGCCAACGTGGGCTGGAGGTCCCAAACAGGAGGTTCGCCATGATCGTTCAAGTCCCCCAACTGGTCGAAGGCGGCACCCTTGAAAGCCCCACTCCAGCTCGAGCCTAGGCTTGGTCATTGGTCTCCTTTGTCCCCCGTCCAGTCGAGCAAGTGCCCGCTGACGCTTTCTTCTGTTCCCTCTCCCCTTGCCTCTGTTGTCCCTGACGACATGCCAAAGCTGTCACTCCATGTTCCTTTTCCCTTCAAGCCCGTGGCTATCCCGGCTATCTCACACTTATCGTTATAGCATTTTGATCATTACAATACCTCGAGTCTCTTCCACTGGGAACTCGAGAAACTCTGTGGGTCCTTGGTATCATGGTGAGCCATCGGGGGCGATCCCGCTCCGGCATACTTTGGTAGTAGGACAATGACAACGGAGCGAGGCGCCCGCTGGCTGCCCCGTCTTTCTGAGTTGCCAACTGGGCGTCATATTTGGGGTATCGGTGAGGTCGGTAGCTAGCGGTACAGCGCTGGGTGAGAACATGGCCAAGTACCGCAGCTACAGTACATATGGTACACCACCGTTTTCTGATAGGAAAGCGTCCAGGTGATCCATTGTCCTTTTACTGCCCCGTCTCCCCGTTTCCTCCGTCTGAGACCCCATCTCGATTAGTCGAGATACCGTCAACAGCTTTGCGGTAGGGACAAGCAAAGGTATCCCCAAGATAGGTTCGAATGGGATGCGGGCTGCTTCCGGTCAAACCTAACAACCCAAGTACTCTTCGGTGCTTCTTCCTTGTTGCCCCCATTGCCTCTCGAGCCTCTCTGGCATCCCATATCAAACTCGCCCATCTCATACACGCATACCCTTACCTGACCAGACTTGGAGCTCCAGATACCTACCTCCTGGTCCTTTTCGCACACCCCCCATCCCTTCAATCTACGCTGCATGTCAGGATTGAATCGTTTCCATACCCTTTCCATACCAGGACCTGGGTTTCTGTTCTCGTTATATGGACGGCGGTTGTTGTTAGCCCCCGTCCCGTGCCCATCCATTCGAGTCGATCCCGCTGCCCTGCTTTGGTTTCATTCCTTTATTGTTAAAGGCTCTTACAACCACCGCCACCACCACACCTCACCGTCTCCCACCTTTCCTCGAACATCTTCTTGTTACACACCTACAACGACTCATAGCTTGAAGCCTCTTGTTCCCATGATCAATACCTGAGAGCAATCCACCCATACCACCGTCAATTCCGTGGGCGACAGTTGCGAAAGAGAGTCGCATCATAGAATCCGATTCCAAAACACCGATTGAGTAGCATTACTACAATACGATACGATACGTCGCGATACATACGTATAAGCCTTATCAGCAGTTATCGCTCATCATCCGCCGTCCCAAACACTCTCGACGACATCGTATGGTGGGGTATCACGGTATTCAATATGCCACCTAGGACATCCCTAACTTCTTCGTTCTCGATCACCGACGCCAATAATGAGGTTGTCTGTCCGTTGCGCAACCAAGATGGCTCAAGCTGTCGCAAGCGCTGCATAGGTGTAAGTTGCTCACGTTCAGCCTATCCAAGCTTACACCGCCTACACCGCTATCAATCAAAACATCACCCGTCACTTACAACCCTTTTGGTCATTATCGTTGCACTTGGCATGCCATAGATAGATGGGATCAGCTGACGGGTATCATGATATCTAGGAGAAGAGATATCGCTCTATGCAGGAGCACATTCGTCGAGCGCACCCGGAGCACTACATCTCCAAACTTCCTGCGACCGAGGAGAGCTTTTTGCTCATGATCAAGACCCAGCCAAACGACCGACCTCAAAACCAGCCAACTTCAGGCCCTTCAGCGCATCCAGGCCAAGCAAAGGGGCTTTCGCATGCCTATCATGGAGATGGCTCGAGTGCTCCGGGGACACCTCGAAATGGCGAGGAGCAGTATACAGGAGCTGCACTGCTCCCTGCTGCAACCGCCCTTGCACAGCTACACAAACCACAAAATGGAGCAAGGCTGGGAATCAGATAATGTAAGTTGGATGATTTGGGTTTCACTTTTGTATCAAGCTGTCTCCTTCCAAGTCATCTTCGCTCTGCTAAACGATGTCTTGTGCCACAGGACTGGCATTCGGATCACGAAGGGAAGAGAAGGCCGAGGTCATCGATTGAGCTGCCCCCAATACACCTCACAAACGCCGATGTGACGAGCGCACCTTACTCCGGTTATGACTCGGGAAGACCAAGAGAAATTTTACCTTCAATCTTATCAAACTCGCCCCCCGGTCGATCATCAACCCTTCCGCCACTGCATCGGTCATTAGGACCCACTCGCACTCGAAGACAGTCGATATCCAAACGAGGCCGCCAAGGCAAGAGATCCAAAGGTGCTACATCGGAATGGCTTCGTCGTTTACAAAATGATAGCCAACATGAACTTCTGCGGCCTGGAGGAAGCGATAGGAAAGCTTTGTCCGCCGAGCCTTCGGCCGACTTTGGCAAGCGCTGGGAAGATCTCATCGATGCAGCCACTTCAGCTACGGAAGACATAGACGAGGATAGGACACCTGTGAGTTCACAAGGCCCTTTAAGATTCAGTCCATATCTGACGAGTCAGATTCCCCGTTCACCTGTGTCGATCCATCGATCATCTTTGCCTCCTCTCCAGCAGCACCACAACTATACAAGTTATCAAGCATCGCCGCTGCAGCAGGCGCTCACCCCGCCATCGTACAATCCTGAGGCTACCGATGCCTTCCCATCGGTCGAAAGTGGTGAAAGCGGGGAGAACTTCCATATTGGATCCCGAGGATTATCAAATTCATCCCCAAGCTACTCTTCGCAGAATACGCAAATTTACTGCGCTGCGTGCCGGGAAGTATCTTTACTTCGGGAGTCATATGCGTGCACCGAATGCATATGCGGCTTGTGCCGGGCATGCGTCGATGTCTTGATGCTTGAACAAGGAGCCCGTCGGAAGTGTCCGAACTGCGCTACGATAGGGGGCCGCTTCAAGCCGTTCCAACTTGATATTAGGTAAAGACATTCAGATTCTCAGCTGGCGACCAGGTGCGATAGTCGCCTTCCTATCTCATACCACTTCTAGGACTGCACAAGCTCGGTGTCATGAGAGGGAGCTTTCATATGGTTGGCACCAGCTCTCCAACGGATCGAATTCATTCGGATATTTCTTAACGGTAAGGGTTTTGACTTCACATCCATCACTCGGCAGAAGTATTCATCGACTTCTTAGCGCAGCGTATGATGGCCGCGTCGCCGGACGCTCCCCAGGCGATATACTTCCTTCTCTACTTTCTCCCAGGATACCCATCGGACGTTCTGTTCCGCACAGCCTTGCATATATCACCACGAGGCTTCTCTCACCCACGCATTCATCATATGGAGTAACAGGGGGCGCTTTTTTGGGGTTTCCTAGGGGTGGTTATCAGGCGCGTTTTTGACATCCTTTTGTTTTCCTTCATGCTTTCATAATGAGATTTCATTGCATTCAGTCGCTTTGGAGGTTGCTTTTTCACGGTAGTACAGGACAAGGTTGCAAGCTATTTTGGCATGAATACCGCCATTTGTCTAAATGGGGTATACTGGGGCTTTTATGTCTCGAAGTCAAGGAGACGATTGGCAGTAGTACAATCTGGTCAAGGGTACTTGCTTTCTAATGCTTTTGATGACTGCTTTGTTTCTTGTAGGTTACTGAAACAATACCAGTTGGTTTGATTTATGTTATGGGTGTATTGCTTTTCAAGTCCATGCTGATGCCAGTCGTATGGCACATGATTGTGTTCCTACTTCTTTCTGTGCTTCTGGTAACGTGACAAGATGCTTCCTTCAAGTCCGGCCAGCTTCCTAAGCTATATGCCTGGACAAAGAATGTGCCAACGCTTTCTCATGATGTTCAAGCCGCAGCCCTTTTATACTCAAAGAGATACGAATGGTGGTGTCCCTTTCTGTCCCGTATTCGTCCAGTTCAAAGAAAAGAAAGGCGTGATTCCACCACCACTGACTGCCAACTCAACAACATTAATGAAGGCCTGAAAAATCCCGCGTTCCATGACGCTACATTCAAATTACAGGTCGAGCCCCTACTCAATAATCGAACATTTCTGGCAGCAGGTCGGTATATATACCAAACATCCAGCTCCTTACATCCGAGGAACTCATGGGCTCCCATATGAGTTGCAGGTGTAGTGGTTCATACCACTGCCTTGGAACCTGTAATCCGGGAGCACATGGGTTCACTCCTCAATTCTAGCAGGTAACAACCCTTTTCCACTTTCCGCCTCATCGTCCTCCCCTATCCTTTTTTTTTTTTGAACCCTGTTGAGTATGTTCCTAGCTGGGCAATGATCTGGCTGGTATCTTTCTTTTGTTGAGCTACACGATCAATTTCTGGTGTGCCGTTTGTTCAGATGTGCTTTGGCTTGGCAGTATCACCCAAGATGTTGTCTACTGGTTTTTGGATGGGCTATTTGTCTTTCTTTTCTTTGCGGGCGCTCTCTCAGTTTCAAGTATGGAATCAACATTGCAGCTTGCTCTGTTTAAAATGCTGTTGTCAAATGGAATTTGGCCGTTTCAGCTTTTCGCCTTTGACGGGCTTCTTCCGTAGAATGACTCCTTCCCTAGAGTGCGTATTGAGCTACGAGGAAGGCACGACTGCTGTTCAGTGTCCACAAGGAAGGAGTCTGGAGCATCGCCTTGTCCGCCCCTCCCGTCTGAAGTGACCGCTTCACTTCGTTATCTTCTTCTAATTCGAATCAACAACATCGTCAGGATCTCGAATTTTATCATATTTCCCAAATAGAACATTTTCTATTATATCCTTCAGTAATTCGTTTGAGCAGACCCATTCTCGCCACACTAGCACTCGCATTGAAAGACAATAGCATCATTTTCAAGTGGTCATCAGATCTCAAGGTTGTCCATGTTCTCAACGCAAGAATCTTAGCGCACTGTTGCACAAAGGAGTTCTATCTAACCGTACCCCAAAATCCAATGTGGGAATGGTGTGCTTCGACATTCTTTCTTTTCTACGCTTTCCTTAACCATGAGAATTTGCCGGTTAGTACCACGCGAGAATCCGGGGCAGACGAGCCTGCCCGCAATATGGGTAAATTCCAGGCAAAATAGCATGCTGAGACTGGGTCAAGGTTCCATCAGACTTCGGACCGCGTTTATATCTTTGAACCGAATGCAATATACTTTATCAGTCCTATGGCTTGCTCTTTTCTCCGGAAATTCAAGCCCATCGGCTTTTCCGTGTTACCATCGATACCACGTTTTCACTTCCATACTATACACAACCCAGTTTCCACACCACATGACTTGGAAGGTATTTTGAAGTGCAAAGCTGTTTCTATGAATCTTATTGTTGTTACCGACCATCGCTCTTTAAGTGTTCCAGCCCAAAGGCCCGCCTTCCCGGTTCCAGCGGCCCATCGACCTGCCTCTCGGTCGATCGGGGTCCCAAGATCACGTACTGCCTGGACCATCTTGTTCCCAACATTTTCTTTCTGGACACTCTTGAAAGATTCCCGGTTGCGTCGTCAGCTCAGTCATTTAGCCTGGATATTTTTTGACTGCCGTTTGCAAGGCACGGCGTACCCTACGACCCTAGACTGTGAGCAAGTGTCCATTGTAGAAGCCTTAACGGGGTCTGTCATGGTCTAGGTAGATCAAGCTCTGCGATCTAGCCCTGGCTATTATTGCTCGCTCGTCATAAATGCCATGGCAGATCTCATAGCTGGGGGAATGAGCATACCTAGGTAATCTTCAACCTAACCAGCGATGTCGGTAGGGTAGGGTCACTTCCTCCCGACCTGGCGTGTCGTGCTATTCCTATCCGTGGGTGTATGCTCGTACAAAAAGTCTCTGGGCCCGTCCCGAACGGAAGTGGATGTGATAAGGAATTGCTTGTTTTCATTTAACTTTCGACTTCAATCCTCGTGTTCGTCCATTGCCCTCCACCACTCCCCAAAGTCGTCGATAAATCCAACTCCAAGCCACCCGTGGGTGCTGCAAGGAACACCTCTACGATCTTACCGCTTTCGTGGGCCTTCAAGTTGGTTTGAGAAACCACTTCCACACATCAACCACGTTGACAAAATCCTCGAGGCCTTTTCAGACTTGGTACCCCTTGGATCCATGTTGCACACCATGTGTTGGTGACAACATCAGCCTTGCTAATGCAGGCATCCGAGCCGAACAAGGGGCTTTAGGAAAGTTGTGTTGAGACTGAAGCGCCGTCACCCGTTACACGCTCTTCGTATTTGCCCCGACTAGCTCTTTGAGAACACCCATTGCTGGCCTTCTATTCCCTGTGTATCCCGAGAGTTCAAGTTTATTTTCTTGACCGCCAGGTTCCGAACCCCTGGAAAGGGAAAGAGTATGAACTCATAAGACGATAATACGGCATTTATCCCCATCTTTTTTTTTTTCTTTTTCGGCAAGCGCTTGGTTCCTTTTGGAGTATTGGACACTACTCTGGGACACCCAAAGTTTACCAGTCGGCCATTTCAGCAACGCCAACACATTTCGAGGTTTCTTGCCGTATGAAGAGTCTTGAGACTGTATCTTCTGATTCCCTGGAATACCCACAAAGGCGGCGAAGGGGGATCAACAGACGCCGAAAACCTGACCTGCCATGTTCCGAACCAAAGACGGGGCATTTTTGACAATTATCAACAAACACCTTCATCCTTACCAGTCGGACCATCACCCAGCGAGAATACTTCCAGTACACCTTGGGTTAACCGCCAGAACCGGCCTGGAGAACTCAAGACAACGCTGCAACCTCCCGAAACCGAACGAAGTGCGGTTTGTTTCGCTCCCGCAAAACATCTGTTTTTGCCAGCCGAATCTTAAAACTCAACCAAGTGACGTGGCAAAGACCGTTTGCTCACGTTTCTTTTCTCTCTTTTCGGTTGACCAGGAGGCTGGCGGTGTCAACCTTATCAAACCACAACGACCTCAACTTGGATACTAAAAGTACCACGACTTGATTGCAGTCCCGAAACTTCCAACAACGTCGCAGCAAATCAGCTGAGACAGCAAGATGGCCAAGGGAATTTTCTTCATGTCATGGGAGCTGTGGCAGCAGATGACCTTTGTAAGTGAAGACACCATCACCACGCTTGCCCCTCCCCTTTCCTGAAAATCCCTATTCAGAAAATGCTAGTTTGCTAACAATCATCTCAAGGCACTTGCCGTAGCAATAGTGGCCGTATTCTGTGCCGGACTAGTCAAGCTATGGTGGACGAACCGCATCGTACGAAAACAGGAGATCTTGGACGAAGAAAAGAAGGCGAGGATCGATGACATGCGCAGCACGGGGCTCCGGCCTACCTCCTCCAAGCGCTTAACCAGCTCCATCCCCTTCGGAGTCCGGGCAATCCAGAGCGGCGTCCAAGTTGACGGCATATGGATCTCGAGACCGGCCACTCCTACCGAAACAACAAAGCTTACCTCAGCGGTGACGCTGGTAAAATTGGATACGGAGCAACAGAGGAGGGAAAAGACGAAGGCGGTAGGTGTCACGACAACGACACAAAGGGCTGCCACACCCGACGGTACATCACTCCTGCAGAGACTCACGGATTCCGAGTCATTGGAGAGTAACTCGTCAGGGGCAATCCTCCAACCCATCTCGCGAGAACAGAGGCACTATTATCCCCATCGCCACGCTCCGCGAGCTCCCCATGCTTTGAGCGAGGACACCCTCAGAAGACTCGAGGGTCAAGATAGAGGAGCACAGGCGCAAAGACTAGCAGCCTATGACACATACGTGGCAACCTCCTCCTCCCAACGACGGCGAGAGATCCGTGGCGGTGGTGATAGCCATCAGCAAAGCACCGGTTCTGAATCAGGCGCCTCATCCTCTGGTTCCGCTCAACAGGGATTTACGAGAAGCGGGAGTGGAAGATCTTATAGCTCATCTAGCGGTGGCGGCGGCGGAGGAGGAAGAAGACTGTATGAGCCAAGAGGAGTCGAAAGGAGAGATACGGCCGCCGTCCGTAATCCCTTTGGCACTTCCCCTTCGCATATGACGTATCAGCAGCAGCAACAGCCACAACAACACCAGCAGAATGATGAGGCAGAGTCTATTATCCCAACCCCCAAGCCGACGTTCGGGCCTGGAGATTTGCATTTCACCAACAACAGGTCTGCTGCTCGGAGGGTCAATGATGGGTTTGAGGTCTTGCCTGTTGGAAGGCTTGGTACACCGGGCACCGAGCGCAGAGCGAATCAGTATCATTTCAACGATCTGGAAGCGGAGGAGGGCGTTGAGGAAATTGGCTATGCACGGGGAAGTAGTGTGCCTGGTTATGGGCGGAGGTAGTGAAGAGCACGTTGGCCTCTCCAGCAAATTGCAACAACACTGGATATGTAATCATGAGGTTTTTTTTGCTGGGTGTCTCCCTGATCGAAAGAGAATGGACGGTTGTTGATTTTGGATGGTCATATATATGACGGCGACGGAAGGGAAGAGGCGTCAGGGGATCGGGGGTGAGCAAGAATTGTACTTCTTTTTTTTTTTTTTTTTTTATGGATAGTTGTTGTCATTGGAAACGTTGTTTGGACCAAAAGCCTGTTCCGCAGTCTCTCATGCGATCTGACCGAAGAGTCGCTATTTTGTGGTCGAAAATCGGGATGGAAACCGGTGATCTAGGCGAGTATGTAGGGTCAAGAAATCGAAGTCCATATGATCGAAGGGCCACGGTTACAAACATCGTCGAAGAGCTTCGTTACTGTCAGGTTCGACGAAGAAGATTGTGATGGGGGTTTAAATAGCAATAACATGTTGTCTCTGTATCAGTATACAGTTGGTTCAAAGAGATTAAAAGGATGAAAAGAGGTCAAAGTGGTGAGTGTGAGAGATGTCACGATATTGACGGGGAGTACGGAATTGGCATGAATTGACGAACCCCCAGGGGTAGCGTTGGAGAATGGACCCCACCGTGGGGCCCATTCTCCAGTGCTCCACTGAATCTAGGCACCGGCTGCGGGGCCTAGCACCCCCATGCTGGGCTGAATTGGTCATCTAGGTCACATGTTAGCGTGTCGCTCTTCCCCAATTTGTAGGACGCGGGTCGCGCTCTTGCCTTCTGGTTTTCGCCTCTGTCAACATTTCTCGTATCTTTAGCTCCAGTTCACGTCGGGTTTTTCTGTTTCGCCATTTCTGCCTTGTATTTTTGTGGCCTTCTCCAAACTTTCCCGCTCGCTGCCGGCCCTGCCATCGTTACCCCCCAAGAAGCCCAGAAACTGGTGCACCGGATATCACGATGTCGAACAACGAGGAGTACGATGAGTCCGCCAATATGGAGGACGATAGTGGGATGCCAAACCCAGGCGCCCCAACACCACTTTCTGCTCTAGAGGTAAATATACATTTCTCAAATATGCGATTTCAGCCTGCAAATTACTAACTGGGTTTCTTAGGGTGTTGCCGGACTTACAAAGCGTGACATTCAGTTGATTGTTGATGGAGGCTTCAACACCGTTGAATCTGTTGCCTACACCCCCCGTAGGGTACTGGAGCAGATCAAGGGCATTTCGGAGCAGAAGGCAGGGAAGATCTTGGCAGAAGGTAAGTCGTTTGGATTCGAGATACTTGCGATTTTATTTTAGGAATTGCCGATGTACTGACATTTCTATCAAGCGTCTAAACTTGTGCCTATGGGTTTTACCACTGCGACTGAGATGCACCAACGCCGCAGCGAACTTATTTCCATTACGACTGGCTCCAAGAACTTGGACACACTATTGGCTGGTGGTATCGAGACCGGCAGTGTTACCGAAATCTTTGGAGAGTTCAGAACAGGAAAATCGCAGATCTGCCACACTCTGGCGGTGACATGCCAGCTCCCTTTCGACATGGGAGGTGGCGAGGGAAAATGTCTCTACATCGACACCGAAGGCACCTTCCGCCCTGTCCGTCTCCTCGCAGTAGCCAACCGATACGGTCTCTCAGGAGAAGAGGTTCTCGACAACGTCGCCTATGCAAGAGCTTATAACTCGGACCATCAGCTGCAGCTCCTCAACCAGGCCGCAGCCATGATGTGTGAAACCCGCTTCAGTCTGTTGATTGTCGACTCGGCGACGTCACTCTACAGAACGGACTTCTTGGGCCGTGGCGAACTCAGTTCTCGTCAAACCCATCTCGCAAAGTTTATGCGCACTCTTCAGCGTCTTGCCGACGAGTTTGGTATCGCGGTAGTGATCACGAACCAGGTCGTGGCACAGGTCGACGGTGGCCCGTCTGCCATGTTCAACCCAGACCCCAAGAAACCAATCGGTGGCAACATCATTGCGCACGCCAGTACCACTCGTATCAGCCTAAAGAAGGGTCGCGGAGAGACGAGAATCGCAAAGATCTACGACAGCCCCTGTTTACCAGAGAGCGACTGCTTGTTTGCTATCCAAGAGGACGGTATTGGGGACCCCACCCCGAAGGATATGGAGAAGATGGGGCAATAGTCCCCAAGTGTGATGGCGACACCGAATCAAACCAACACGAGATTCATACGATAATGTAGGAACACAGGGGACTGATGATATGGCTATACGAGGGCGGATGTGTGCAAAAGGTAATGGGAGTTTCAATGGACATAGCGCGTTTTTATTGTTTGCATGGGAGGATAGCCTGGCGTTACACATGTCTGATAGGACTGGTAGAAGTTTGGAGTTTTTAGTTAAGTTATCATCAACAAGGGAACTTAATTTTTTCCAAGCTGGTGCGCGGACTCTGAAGCTGTCATAAGTCTGTTCGCCTACCAGCCACTGACCAGACCAGAAGGCGCTTCTCGATGCTGGGGTCGAGCAATACAGGTGTGGTGTTCCTAAAATCATAGGACTGTAAAGCTGAAGTTGCTGTCGTCCATATTGGCGAGACACCCTGCCACGAACCACATAATTTCGTGAATACAGGAAGAGAGAGTGAAATTTATGATCTGTTGTTTGAAGGTGCAGCTTGAGCGTTATCATCCATTGAGCATTGTCAAGTGCGGTGGAAGTAGTGGTTGTCAAGAGATCGGAGTGAAAGCTTTCACTTCCAACCTCCTTTGGTGTGACGTACCTTGTCCCCTATCCACCTAGTCACACTAGTGGTTGAGGTTTCCATAGCATAGAGCTCCCCACCAACCAACGCCAGCGATTGAACGACCCGCTGCAACTTCGCTTGTAGCGTTGCGCTGTGTTTGGGAACTTGAACTTGCCGGGCGGCCAGAAATTCTGCCCTGGGCATCACAGCAAAAGCAACAACCGCGTTTGCATCTTCAAAAAGCGCGACAGCAACCCCTCGGCCTCCCCATACCACACCGAATGATACCCATGGGAACAAGATGAGCGCAAGGGATTTCGAGATTCTCTATAAAGAGACGCGCCTCAACCTCGAGCCGTCCACGTCGTCGTCGATTGTCCAGATCCGCGTCGGATCGCACAACCAGAGCTCCTTCAGCAGGTCGACAACAGCAAGCGCGCGCGCGATCAACGCCGCCGACGACGAGAAGGCCTACCGAGTCCGTAATCTAGCCACCACCTCATCCAGTATACCTACCGAAACGCACCATGCCTGCCCCGTGGATTCCATTGGCGGGTCCTTGAGAACGACACTGTCCTGAGCATCCGCGCCGCCGATGTCTGCAAGCCAAACCACCACCAACACAACGATACCGACGCGCCCTTGGTCCTGAACCTGCGCTTCCCCTCGCCGATACGAACCTCTTGCATTGGCTTCTCTGATCCAGAGGCCCTCGATGCCCTTTGCGTCCATGTCGTGGACCAGTCCAATCAGCTCCACACCATCACCATTCGCCCAGATCACTTCAGGAAGAGGCTAGCAACCGATGGCGGGCTCGGCGAGTTGTGCAAGTCGTACTCGCCGTCCGGCTTTGGCTTCAAACAGCCACACCGGCTCGTGGTTGTGAGTCATGAGCAGATACTTGTCACAATGCATGATGGAGGAATAATCAGATTTGACAGAAATAGCAGACCAAACGGTGGTGAGCACATCTGCATCCGCATTGTTGGACAAAACAACTGCTGACGAAAGTTCTATAGCAAACGGCAACCCATGGAAGGAGACCATCTACAACGTTGCTGGATGGGGACAGAGCTTGCAGAAGCTGGTTCCTTTCAAGCGAGATCCGACAGTGCGGTACGGCAACACCAACATGGAGCTAACAGCAGCTACGTCAACAGCCATCACGAATGTGGGCATCGATGGCGCCGCCTTTTTGTTTACCATTTGTCTGGATCACCGTATGCGCGTGTGGGATGTGCGGACGGGCCAGATCATGTACACGGGCGACATTTTGAACGCTAAGCGCGATCCCCAGGATATTGCCCGATGGACCATCGACCCTTCTCAAACCAACCTCATCCGTATTATGGACAACGGCCCTGGCCAATGTCTGGTCGTTACATACTCGCCAATAGGGTCTGGCGAATTCAAGTTCTGGAAAGTCAAAGCCAACGCCCAAGGATCGATCCATGTTGCCGACTGCTTCCCCGAACAAAAGCTGGTCCCGGCTAGCCCATCCTCTCTCGATATCTGGACCTTGGCCGACTTCGCTGTCGCGCAACAAGCAGAGGGGCCTGAGCTTTGGACACTGTGGAAGAACAACATCACCTACCGGGTCCAGAAGCTCCAGGTACACCCAAGCAGCGTCAGCGGACCTTTCGATGATGGTTGGAAATCGGTCAATATCGAATCTTCGACAGCATCTGCGCAGACCTCGGGGCCGTGTGACCCCGTTGATTCGAGCGAGAAATGGTTGGAGCTTATCTTCTTCCCGGGCAGGTTTTCCAAATCGACGCTCGAGACAGCACTACTGATGTATGAAAAGGGCCTCGGAACTTACAAAGAAGGCAATTCGAGATCCAACAAAAGCATCGCAGAGTCGATCTGCTCCGTCCTTGGAGCCACCACAACACTCGATCGAAGCTCCGTCGGAGGGCTGGATTATGAACAGTTCAGGGGTACGAGCGAGACCCAGTGGACACGGTTTTGGCGTTTGCTACTTGAATTGGACAAGCAAAGGGGCGAAGCACTATCCTTGGTTCTCGATTCTGTGGATGGAATGATCTGGGTTGCGTGTGCCGATCTCTTGTCTGCTGTCAGGCAATGCAGCGACCTTGACCGAATCTATCACAATATCGAAACTCCCAGCCAGAAGGATCAGGACGTCGCCGCCTTGGTCTCAGCTGGTCTAAACTTTGTCGACGTCTTCTCGGACAGCATGTTGGAGTTGAGCAGGGCGGCTCTACGGGCTGAGCTTTTCGAAGAATCATCACTCTCGGATGCCGATCGTATGCAGCAGTTTGCCGACAAGGCAGGGTTCTGGCGTCAAGTTACCGAAGAGGATGTGGCTCAAGTGGCGGAAGCCCTGGGCCAAAACTTCCAAATGGTTACTCCTAGGTTGTACGAAGATTTGTTCGAGCTGATCACAGCGGCCGGTGATGGAAACTCGCAGGAATTGCGAGCACCATTCACAGCCTTCGGGCGGAAACTGGTTATTCGAACAGTGCAGGAGACGATTGAGCTTCATTGGAGGATACTCTTCAGCCAACTCATCCTTCTGGTTCACATGGAGGAAGAGATCGAAGACGAGAAGATTGCACTACACGCGAGGTTCGACGTAGGCCTAGTCTACCGCAAACTGGTTGATGCTCTTAAGCGGCTCGAGCATCTCCGGTGGATGGTCAAGACAGAGCTTACGATCCCCGTACCAACGGCCGATCAGTCTGGCTCAGCATCACCCGTGGCGAACCGTGGTAAGCAGGAGACATATGCCATCACTGCCTTAGAGGGACTGATTGGACACCTCCTGGGACTACCAGAAAGCCATGGCGAGCCTCTGTTGTCTAGCATCACTGATGTTGTTCTTGACATCTGTGCTCCGACCAGCTCGACCGAGCTCGACAACGGTATTATGCAATGCTGGCTCTTGAAGCAGGGCCGCCCTGACCTCGCGAAGGAGCTTAACCCATTCGCTCAGCTAGACCCCTTTGCTACTTACATCCAGGGTCGTGTGTTCCTTGCCCTCAACGAACACAGCACTGCCGCTCAGTGCTTCAAGAAGACATCAGTCGGCCTAAGCACAGAGCGCACGAATGTGCACCGGCATAGCGCTGGCCTTCTCGACGACACCGAGTGGAGGTTGCTTTACAGCGGACTTCCCAACTACTACGCTCACGTTGTGAACCTCTTCGAACGTCAAAAGGCCTATTCATACGTCGTTGAATTCTCCAAGCTTGCTCTGCAGTTCATCCAGGACAACCAGGATGCTGAGAATACCAGCAGCCAGCGGACTAAGCACAATGATATCAAGACCGAAATGCTTTCCCGCCTCTTTACCGCCTCCACGGCCATCTCTCAGTTCGACGTCGCGCACTCCACTCTGCTTTCCATGACTGACGACGAGGTGCTGCAAAAGTCGTACCTCCGCAGGCTCGTCGAGAAGATGTGCGAAGCCGGCCAGAACACGGAGTTGGTCAACCTGCCCTTCTCCGGTCTGCAAACCATGGTCGACGACACCCTGGTCGAAAAGTGCCGTCAAGTCCGCGACGTGCTCAACGGCGTTCCCTACCACCAAATCCTGTACGCCTGGCGCGTCAGCCACAACGACTACCGCGGCGCCGCCTCCGTCTTGCTCGACCGGCTGCAGAAGCTCAGGCAGATGGGCGAAGGCGACAAGGTCGGTGTCAGCGGGGAGGACGCGCTAGATACGCAGGTGACGAGACAGTACCTGTTGCTCATCAACGCGCTGAGCTGCGTCCAGACCAAGGGAGAGGCTTACATCCTCGAGGACATCCTTTCCGACGATGATGAGGACGACCAAGACGTGAAGCCTAACGGAAAGAGCGGTGGGGATAACCTAGAAGACCATCTCGACGACCTAATGGAACGCCTCGACACCGCTGATGATATTCCCGAGCAGCAACAGCAACAGCAGCAACAGCCCTCCAAGAAGAAGACTGGTGGAAGGACCACCAGGGCCTCGGCAGCGGCTGCTTCTTCGACTTCGTCCGAAGCTCAGCAGGAGGAGGACCGTGTCCTCGCCCAGAAGTTGAGGCAGTTTGAGTCCGCTTCCGAATCCTTTTCTGGCGAGTCCCGCAGGAGGCTGCTTACACTGGCCGACATCCGGAAGCAGTATCAGCAGGAGCTGGACAGGATCGTGGCGATCCAGAACAATCAGTTTGGATTCACGGATGGGTTTGACGGAGAAGATGGGGACGTTTTCATGTCGTGAGCGGCTCCTTATGGGAGGGACCGAGTTGATCTAGCATGTTTGGCTTGCCCCTAGTTGCTTGGCTGCTTCATTGTAATGCTAGAATATGAGAATTTATCGAAATCATGGAGAAAAAAAGGGCGGAAAAGGAACAGCCGGTTACGAATTCTATGCCTTTGTTATGTCTCAATCACATTGTTGGGAGTATCGGTTTTATTTGTGGTATGAGCTGAGTTTTTATGGTGATGTTGAGCTACATGTTTGTCTAAAGTTGACTTGAGGGCGCCAGCCAGGAGCAAAGGGGTCTCATTCGCATAATGAGTAGCATAGGATAGCATGTACAGGTTCGACTAACCAAGTCTTTGCCCACCGTATTCACCAACAGATTATATTGAGGTTCCTTCTGTTTCGAAAAGCCAACGCCGTGCAATGCTAGATAACAAAATATTTACGTTAAGCAATGGGACCTTGAGACTCCGTATTCGCAGACAGTCTCAAAGATTCCCGCTAAAGCCTCCCTTCCTCCCCCCAACCAAACAACAACCAAATGAACCGCTACCGTCTTGCGCGCGCGCATTCGCTGTTACCATTTCGACACTTCTTGTCTGTTCGTTCCGTTGATCCTCCCAGTCATACCCGCATTCTCCTCCCCAATATCATTACTATTTCATCATCGGCCATTGTATATAAGCCACACTCAGGTTGATTCTTCATTCAGCTTGGTTTCGCTCGGCCGCTCGTTCCATTTGGGAAGTTCCATTGAGGTAACCTAAGCCGCAGATATCCCCGCAAGCCTGTTATCGTTGGGAGGCGGCGCTGGTAGAGCGTTTTGGCCGGGAGGGGCAGCTGCCGCAGCAGCCGCGATCTCGGGGGCTTGTCGGTAGAGGATGATCTCCGACTGTTTGAAGTACCGCCGGGCATCTGCAAGCTGTTAGCACTTGTAAAGGTATATGCGTGGGGAATACCGGTAAACAATTACCTTCGTCTATGAGGACCAGGCTGAGGTAGTATCTTGTGGAAAACTTCTTGTTGACGTCACGGAAGGTGGGTGTGAGGTCGAAACCGCCTAGGAACAGTCGGATGGGAATGGTCTCTCCTCTTGATGGCGAGCCGTCCATGATCTACACATCCAGTTGGTCAGCATTTTGTCGAGGGAAGGTCAAAGATTAGGGGGTGAGATAGGGGAACACATACCTCAAACCGCACCAAGGTCTCGCTCTCGTTGTACTGGTTCGGCGCAACACCCGTTGTTTCGCGGCGAATGATGCTGAGCTCCATGTGCTTGATCTTGAGCCGCACAAGCAAGAAGTAGATGCGGCCCACGATGACATCCTTAAGATGGTACTTGCTCTTGCTGTACTCGAACTCGATGTGCAGACAATCCTCGATACCAACATCCATCTTGATGCTGCTGTTCATCTCGGGCGGGATGCGGTAGCTGTAGACCCAGATGTCCTTCTCGCGGATGACATCGGCCATGCGGCGCGAGACGGTGACACGCACAAAGTAGCGCAGCTTGACGTTGATACCGTTGTACGACTCGTATTGCTTCTCGACGTTTTTGAAGTTGAAGTCGAAGGTCTGGGGATGTTGCAGCTCGCCCGGGGCCGCAAGCTCCTGCACTAGCGACAGGAACTCGTAGTGGTTCCCGCGATCGAAGAACATCTCTATTGTGCCGATAAACTGGACCTTGATGCCCGTGTGCTCCAGCCTCTTGCCGTCCTTGGGCCGCACCGTCACGGCGCCCTTGACAGACTCGCCGTCCATATACAGCGGAGCCTTCTCGCGCCGGTTCTTGTCTAGCTTGACATCCACCATGGATCGTTCGTCGGCATCGTCAAGGACAATGTCGATATCGACCGGCGTTGCAAAGAAGTACGACATAGTAGGCTATGATGCTTCGTGTGATTATGGTCGGGTGGCTATAGTCCTGGCGCGCTGTGTTGCGGATAGGAAGGGGACGTCTTGGTCGGGAATCAGACTGCGCGATGCCAATGGTCCTGTAAGTTGGACCGGCTGGTGGGTAGCTTCGGGTTGGACAGGCGACACTTTAGACAATTGATGCAATTAGTGACAGGAACCGCACGAGGATATTATAACTTCAGCATTTGTTAATTGCTGACATACGAAATGCTGACGACAGACTGAAGCTCCAGGCTCACTCGTGATGTTCGGTGTAGTGTCGGTGGTCTCTGGGAACAAGTTAGCTGTTACTGATGCAGTGGTTCAGATGAACCGGCGGCAGCTTGTAGGTCGTCGTCAGCGGCACTGCTTGGTCGGTCCCTCCTTGTCCGGGGGGCGGTGTCTGTCCAGTGCCCACTAAGCGATCCGGACTAGAGTGGGGTGTGATTGCCGGCTGAGCGCCAACTGAGCATCTTCCGGCAACTGGAGCTGTGCAAGTGCAGCTCGACTTACTTTTCGCTCTCAACGGCATCTGAGCTCAACTCACGGTCCGTCCTCACCACATGGCTGCTGGCTTTCAATCCACCTTGGCGATCAACCACCAGCAGGGGGTTGCAGAAGACTTTTGGTTCAAGGGTCGCAGCATCATGATATCAAGAATGATGATGAGATGTGTATAATTTTGTCCGTGATGCCAATTGAGTTGTGAGGTAATTAGAATATGCCTCTGTCAGTTGACCATACCGAATATACAACTAGACCGATACTCTACGTGCAACCTATGAATAGCCTCTAGCACCCGCTGCTGGCTTTTGTAGTGATGAATGTCGCAAATCCACCATGACGGGCCTGAACAAACGCGTTGCTGGACGAGATGCACGCGAACACAGTGCAGGTGAGGAAAGGTGAGGCTGGAGCAGGACCAAGAGGCTGACCGGTACCTGCACGGGCCAGGTTTACCCCACTTTGGCCTGTTCCGCCCCGATTTCGACCAATGGTAGCATTCACCAGCCCCTCTGCCCTAAGGCAGGCAGCGCGGGCGGTCGGCACACACAAGTTGAATTATTCCGGGCGCCCCAAAATCGACATTTTTCTTTGGGTTTTGCAACCTCCCAGTCCACCTCGACGACGAACTGACCACCCTCACCTCCTCACCCTCCGACCGACGCCAAAATGCGCTACATCCACAGTGAGGAGACCCTGGAGGTCCCTGAGAACGGTACGTTTGCGCTTGATTGACGTTATGCTGCGATATCTACGGCCCGAGCGAAAAGAAGACGGCTGAGGCGCGGGCTTGGCCAGGCGAAAAGCGAGCGACCGACAGACGGCAACCACCAGAGCGGAATTGGCATGGGAATGGGTTGATGGAAACAAGGACTTTGGGTTGGCTGGTCGCAACGTGGAGGATGGACGATTTTCGCCCGCCGGCCGAGCTTCGAAACCGAAACGACAATGTTTGGGCCTGTCGCGTATAAGCTGCAGTATCACTAACGCCACTTTTTCCGGTTCACAGTCAAGGTCTCGATCAAGTCCAGGATCGTTACCGTCGAGGGCCCCCGCGGCAAGCTCGTTAAGGACCTCAGCCACATTGCCGTCAACTTCTCCGTCATCAAGAAGGGCATCATCGGCCTCGAGATTCACCATGGCAACCGCAAGAACGTCGCCGCTCTCCGTACCGTCCGCACCCTTATCAACAACTTGATCATCGGTGTCACCAAGGGCTTCAAGTACAAGATGCGCTACGTCTATGCCCATTTCCCCATCAACGTCAACGTTGAGAAGAACGCCGAGACTGGCAACTTCGAGGTCGAGATCCGGTATGTCGCGGAACGAATTCTACACGCGGAGGGATGGTGATAAAAAGGCGTTGCATATGCGCCGAGGAGGAACAGAGGTGCTGACTAGAGTGTTTGTGCAGCAACTTCATCGGCGAGAAGATCGTCCGCCGCGTCGTTATGCAGCCCGGTGTCGATGTCGAGATCTCCAAGTCCCAGAAGGATGAGCTTGTCCTCTCCGGCAACTCCCTCGAGGGTGTCTCCCAGTCCGCTGCTGATATCCAGCAGATCTGCCGGGTGCGCAACAAGGATATCCGTAAGGTACGTTGCAAAAGCTATATCCCCGGGGCTATATGGGCTGGTTGAGCAAAGCCAGCAAACGATGGCCTTGTTTTGCTAATACGGCTTGCAGTTCCTTGACGGTATCTACGTCTCCGAGAAGGGCAACATTGTCGAGGACCAGTAAACGTGCGGCTCGGCATGGGTTTCTTTGTGCTTTATGGGTCTCACCGGAGTGGCAAGGGTCTTTGGCATTTGCATGTTTTGTAGCGTAAGGGAAAAAATTCGCTACGGGCAAAATGGGCAAATCTTTTGAAGAATCACCCCCCTTTCTCGGGTTCTCGCCAATTACCTAGCATCAACGTCTTGGGAGGCGCCCTCCTCTTCCAGCGGGTGACTGGAGAGGAGAGACGGGCATGTCACATGTGTTCTCCTTGGACCAGGAAAACGCAACAGCAGAACATAACGAGAGAATACCCAAACACAACAACAAAACCGAGCATCGAGTGTGTGACGACCGTACATGTCTGGGAAAATGGGCATCACGAGAGCGCCAAAGAAAGATGTTGGGGATGATTCTGTTTGCTAGGCTGATGGTCATATTATACCCAGACTAACTCAGTAGATGAGCCAGTCGAAGAGTCTCCCAGAGACCAATCTATAATGATCTACAACTTTGGATAGCCTCTCAACATGTGTGGTCTCCGTGCCGAGGGAACCATGTTATAAAGACATAGGACGTGATAACGACCACTTCTGCACAATTCAGGGGTTGTTGCACGACCCTTGTGACTATGCCCGAGTTCACAATTTTCTATCATCATCGTGGACATATCACCTCTTCATTTCAACCAGATCTTTCTCCTTTCATTCTTTCAGTTCATGCCATACATACATACATCAAGTCATTCATTACACATATCCGCATCCTGATTCTCACCATCCTCATAATCCTCATCCCGGCCACTGCTACTTCTTCCCTTCACTTCCCTTTTCTCTCTCCCTCTCCCTCTCCCTCTCCTTCAAATCAGACCTTGCTCGCTCAAAGAACTCGCTCGCTGAATTCATGGAGGAAAAAAACCTCCACATCCTCCACTTGCCCCATCATTCCGCATCGCAGGGAGACCATCCATCCTATATACCAAGGAGCTTTGAAAAAGAAAAAGCCTTTGAGAAAATCCTCCTTGAACCGCGCCTAAACCCGAGATCATAACGCCGTGAAACACAAAAGCATGGGGTAATCGTTGGGAGGGGGCATGAGAACGTTGTGTGGATGATGCTGAGAAACCCACACAAGCGCTCGGGGTCCCTGAGGAAGTGGATGGATGAGTGGTGATGGCGTGCGTTATATAGTAAAGAACCGAAAAAAAGAGATGAACACAGAAATGGGAAAGTTGAGAGTTGGCGGTTGCTCGTCACTTTTGTCATCTGTCAGGGCATGCCGCATAGATGCTGTATTTAAGTCCGTAGACAAGTTGAAGTGCGTCGGCTGCAGGGGGCAATCAGTCAAGGCTGGGGGACCGAGTTCTTCATCCCCTCATAGGGCCCGGAGATCTCGAAATGCGGCGCTGACCAGGAGGCGGCGGAGGCACGGAACTAACGCGCGACACGCGGGTCGTCGTCCTCGTCACTCTGCTGGCTGTCCTGGTCCTACCAGCACCGCCAGCGCCGTGAGCAGAGGCAGAGCGCGCAGAGCGCCGAGTTCGTCTATCGCTACTGAACGAGCCTATTGTGTTTCCAAGGTCAGTATTTCGATTTGCGACTCATTTCATGCTGCGTTGGTCGAAACTTACTAGGGCTTCCGCTGGAGGTATAGTCGGAATAGTAATAGCTGCTATTCTCGCTCCTGGACTTGCGTCTCGACGGCTCCTTCTTCTTGTCCTTCTTCATTCCGAGCAGGAGCCAGAGCGTACCGAGCGCGGCTCCGGCGCCCATAAGGCCTTTACCGCTGCTCTCCTTGCGCACAGCCGCTCCGCTGGGACGACCACCGCCGGCGCCGGTATACCAAGAGCCGTGGGAGTCTCTCCGGCCGCTGTGGCGAGCATACCGCTCCTCCTCGACGACCGTCTCTTTAGTCCGCTTGTTGCCTGCTCCGATGCCGAATATGGCCAGAAAACCGTGCCAGAGACCGCGCACGATGCAGCATGCGCACAGTAGAAGAAGCAGAACAACACCGGCGAGTGTGCCAATAACAATACCCGCAATCGCTCCTCCGCTCAGACCGGTATCAGCCGTGCTGCCACCGGCCGCTCCGCCAGCCGCTCCGCCTGTGCTGCTAGCTGTAGCACTGGCTGCGGTTCCCGTCGCGCCGCTGGTAGGACGGTAGGGGGCGCTGTACTGGGTCGTGTAAGTGTGACCGGCCAAGGTGCTGCCCAAGAAGGGGGCGTCGTTGGCACCCTTATCAATACATTGTCCGGCGTATTGACACTTCTGCGATGCGGCGCAGCAAATGGTGCCGCATGCTGATTCTCCGAGACCAGTGTTAGGAACGCAGTCGGGACCGCCCGTGGGTACAGCTGCAAGCAGAGTACTGTAGATGCTGGTGTGGGTCTGCGTCAAGGTGTCGGTCCAGATGGAGGTCACCCATTGAACATTTGCCTGTGGCTCTGGCTGTGGGTAGGGAGCTGCAGACGCATACTGCGGTAGCGATGCGCAGGCCAGTAAAAGAGCTGAAAATAGACCCAGCGGCGATTTCCGGGACGCCATGGTGAGGATTGCTATTTGAGTGACAGGCTGTTAAAAGTCGCGGGATTCCAGTACGCAAGTGGAGATGCGCCGTCGCCGATTGTCGGTCGGTGTGAATATCCCGGTCTGCCGGAACGGGGCCCGCTTTTGAAGGTCCGGGCCGGGGCTGGATCGGGTGGACCGTGCAAAGTTCCTGCCGATCGGATCGTGCTAGCTGCTTAGCTTCGAAGGGCTGCTGCTTCTTTCGCGTGTCGGACTGTCGGTACGGCGGTGAGCGGGGTGGAGCTTCAACAGTGGTATGCAGATGCACTCAGCGGCGCAGCGGTCGCTCCCGTCGTCTGGCGTGAATCTGAGAATGTGCGTGTGTCGGGTGCTGTAACTTGAAAACGGCTTTCAACCTGGGCGTTGTTGTGTTGTGTTGCGCTTTTCGACTGATTTGCTGCTCGTCAGGCTTCTCCGGTCTCTTCTGGGTGAATCCAACAGTACCACTGATTGCAATCAGGCCCTTCTGGTTCTCGTTTCCTTGTTCTGCTGGGTTGCGCGGGTGCGCCCTAAAAGCAGTGTAAGCTCAAGATGAGCCACAACTGAGTTAGGTCGGTGATGAAGGTTCAGCGACGGGAAACCGACTGAGTGAGACCGAAATTCGCGAACCAGTTCCAGACTCCAGTGACGAGACTAGGAGAACGGAAAAGGAAGAAAAAGAGGGAAGAGGGAAAACGGGAAGATGCAGCAAGATGCAGCCTTCGTCACTGCAGATTTTAATACCTACCCTAGCCTTGGTCAAGGTCCACGGAGGGCCTGTTCGGGGTGGTCGGGCGGAGGATGGTAGTTTGCAAGTGGGCGGGACGAGCGAAGAGCCAAGCACTTGTGGGCGGCCAGGGCGGGTTGTGTGCAAGGTGCGGTGCCATCGTTTTTGGCTTCCCAACCTCCTCGCAAAAAAAAGTCCGTCGACGGCACCACTCGTCCACTCCAGCCAGGCACACTTCTCGATCCCGCCCGCGCTGAGAGGGCTGACCTAGACTTCTCAGCACAGCACCGTAGCACCCAACCCCTCGATTTCCTGGAGCGACGGCTAGTATTCCCTGGAAGAGCAACTGCTATTCGTCACAATCCTTTTCTTCCTTTCAGGTCCATCTATTCAATCAGCGCTAGCGAATGTCTTCACTGACGCTGCTTCTGCCCTGGAGATCCAAGGGTTCTCGCAAGGGAATGTCCGGATGAAGATAAAAAAACAAACTTGGTTGTTCCGATTGACTGGATCTTGTTCGTATCGAAACATCCCATGTTATATTCTTCTTGCATGAGAGGGTGGATATAGAAGCTGTAGGGTTGTCTTGGGTCGGTCTGCCTCGTACATATGGGTGGAATCGCGGTGTTTTTTTGGCGGTCATGTTTCGACCTCTTTGCCCTTGTTAAGGGAGGTCCAACTTGCTGGGACGTGATTCCACTCCGCGAGTCCCGTTGACGGTCCCATCACCCACTCGATGACCGACGGCGTCTTTGCCCTGTCAATCATGCTTGTTCCTGCGTAAGCAGTACCGCTTATTTTGGCGGCGTGCAAGTACCCTGCGCCCTCCCAGGACAATCTTCTGAAGTCTTCTCAGTAATAACGGGCCGTCGTTCGAAGCATGGCTGGCCATGTGCAGGTTATCGGACTATGTGCGAATATTGCATGAGCTTATCCGTCCAAGCTATCAGATACCTATGCAGAAGAAACATGGCATCATCAACCGGCAGCTGGATAGGCACATACAGTAGGGCGGTGCGACAGTCAGTGGTGCCAAGAGATGCGTCTTGGCATCATTCATGATGGCATCTTTCCAAAGCCTCATCACTTGCCCGAGTCGGCGTTAGCCAAGATGAAGTTGTGAATCGAATTCTGGTGATAAGCTGTAGCAGGCTGTATATAGGTAGGTGGAGCTATTGGCCATTTGTGAGGCTGGCTGACGGGTTCGTATGGAGAGACCAGACATCTTGAACAATATTGTTCAAAGTTTGGTGACGAAACTCAATACATGTGCCAGTGGATGAGTCTACGACTAGGTAAGAAGAGAAAGATAAAGTGCAACAAGGGGCTCCCAGGAAAGGCGACCAATATATATACTAGAGACTGAGGTACCACTATCCTCTAAGAGTGACGAGAGCGTGGTGCAAGACCCGATGGATGACTGGAAGTGATTGCTTCCAACGTAGTTCGTTGTGAGCTGGTGGGTTCCAAGTTCGTCACTAAAAAAGCTGGGGCTGATGGGGAAATGGAAGCTGCAGGGAGCTCTCCTTGTTGCGCATCATCGAGGTTCCCTTGCCCGCCCGCACCGCTGGAAGTGGCCGCTGCGGCTACGAAACGCCTGCGCATTCCCAACACCTCGCATGCTGGAACCTGCCGCCAACATCAATGCTTCCTACACCTCAGACCAGCCCGTCATTTCGCCCGCCTTGCCAAGAAGCTCCATCGTCAACTACACCACTCATAACCTACAACATCCCCGCGTCGAACCGACAAGGACAGTCCTCAACCACGCAGAAGCTGTCTTGAGCTCTCCGACCGGGCGCATCAGCTTCGACACCTATTCATCATGTCCCTCGACCCTCCAACCTATCTCGCGTCGCTGCAAAGCAATATCCGCCAAAGGCCAATCCCGTGGGATGGCGCCGTCCGCGCCGGCACTCTGACGGAGGAGCAGTTGGCAAAAATCCGGGCTGTCGATAAAGTCAAGCGGGATGTGCGCAAACAAGTCATCGAGGCCGACCTGGATGGATACAAGACACTTTTCGCTGGCAAGAATGATAAGAGGAGCGTGCTAGAATTAGCGTCCAAGCGACCAGACGTGTGCCAGTACCTCCTCGTCTTGCTCAGCGACTTGCTAGACAGTTGGTTTCCCTTCGTTTCCTACTACCCGTGGCGGGATGCTCGTACACCACCACTATGCTCCTTCCACTCGTTCACTTCTTTCAATGTTTCCCGTAGCAACTGCCAGAAGAGGTGATCACTTTGGCAGTGACGTCGCATAGCGATGTATATACCCATCACTCCATTTCACGTACCACCATTTGGCGACCGTCGTCTAATATGATGTATCACAGATGTTCCCGCTCTGTCGAAAGCCTTTTTCGCCTCTGAAGATTCCAACCCCTACAAGAACATCCTGCCGCTGCTTGCGCATTCGAACAACACCGAAGACCCGATCCCTCTTCTTACCTCTATAGTTCTCGTCCGTCTCATGGCTTGCTCCAGAGATGAATCCACACCTACAGCCGAGAAGGCTTTGCCTATGCTATACAGTTATCTCGCTTCCCTAACCAAGAACTCGGACGCCGGACTGCAGGATATTGGCGTCCAAGAGTACTCGCAACTCCTCTACAGCCGCGTCTGCAGACAGCAATTCTGGAAGCAACGCAGCGAAACCGTCGGGCCGCTGATCGACATCCTACGTGCTGCCGCTGGTGTTTCCGGCGGTGATGCCTCAGCCAGTCTGTGGAGTGGTACTACCAACCCCATAAGGAGCGGTTTTGAACCTTCGGTTGGTGGGGGAGTCGGTCTACAGCTCCTTTACCATGTCCTTCTTGTCCTGTGGCAGATGAGTTTCGAGGCTGCGGATATTGGTGATGAACTGAACGAGTAGGAAGGCCCGTTTGAGAAGAATGAGTGAACAAAGGCTAACAGATATTCTACCACAGCGAATACGACATTGTGCTGCTTTATACCCACCTCCTCCGACTCTCGCCAAAGGAAAAGACGACGCGACTCCTCATCGCGACGCTTTACAACTTGCTGTCGAAGAACCAGAACTCCCTCCTCCCTATCGCCGTGCTTGCTCGCCTCCCTCAGTTGCTGCAGAACCTTTCAAGCCGACAGTTTACGGATCCAGATCTCGTCGAGGACCGAGACCAGCTGCGGGAGCTTGTTGAAGAATACACCAAGACCAAGACAACATTCGATGAGTATGTCGCCGAGGTCAACTCGGGCCACCTGAGATGGTCACCTCCTCACCGCAGCACTGTCTTCTGGGCGGAAAATGCTCGCAAGATTCTGGATTACGAGAATGGCGAGATTGTGCGCAAGCTGGCCGAGATTATGCAGAAGCCCTGGGAGAACGACAAGGCGGTGCTGGCGATTGCGTGCAATGATGTTGGTTTCTTGGTTCGCGAAGTGCCCGAGAAGCGAAGCCAGCTGGAGAGATATGGTCTCAAAACACGAATCATGGAGCTCATGGGCGAAGCTGATGAGAATGTCCGGTGGGAAAGCCTGCGTGCCCTTGGTGGATGGTTGCAGTACAGCTTTGACACCAAGTGATGGGTGGGCATCAATGTTTCAGGGATTGGGATGGATGGATGCATTGCATGAGAGCTTTTATGTTTACTACGACTACCGCATTCCTATTAGTGCAAGAATGGTTTCATGACGAGTTCAATGATCGATGGAATGGCTGGGAGGTGAGTTGCTACGAGGCAGACGAGTCTTGGAAGACTACAGAGTCATCAGCTCATGGCTTGTGTACTTTGCTTACTCCCAACATCGTCTAATCTGTGTTACCTATGTACCCCTCTTGTTCTGTTCGAGTTTTCCACTTTGAACTTATTAGTTATGTCAAACTTGTAATTGCTGCCAAAATATTTGACCATCGAGGTCGTTAATACGATACCATACCCTCGAGACCAGCATATCACCCTATTACGTAACCCCCATACAGTAAAGGCATGAGCTACCCCACTATACACCTTTCCTTATCTTATCAGTCAACATCGACCCCGGGCCTTGTGACATCACACTGCTAGCTGAGCTTCAAGTCGCGAACACGCAAAAGAGGCAGCAACACGCGACCAACAAAAACAAATCACAAACCGAGCATCTCGAAACTGTCACTATGGGAAGCAAACGAGTAAGTCCTTGGATCCTTGATGTTTATATATCGCCCTGCATGGACGAATTTGGCGAGTGTACAGACTCCCGTCAGCTCTCCACATTTGAGCTTGTCACACAAGCTTAAGCTTTTGGCAGCTAGCTGTCATATAAACGAAGTGTTTTGTTGGTTGTATACACTCTGAACACCATTCTGCTAACTTGAGTCATCAACTGGCAATTGGCTGACAATCCTTATTAAAGGTTTACTTTCTTGCCCATGGCAGGGTTCAAGGTACGATAGCCTAGATACGTGATACCTAGGTCTACTTGCCATTTCATCTCGGCGGCCATTTAAAAGCAACCAACAACACTGATTGGTTCGGGGTTGAAAAGCCTCTCGGGATATCGTTGACTTCCCTTAATGATATTTTCTAACACTGAATATGACAAAAGGTGTTTTCTACCGGTAAGTTGAGTTTGGACTGGTCATTCTATCTCTGTTTTTGGTTATATGTTTGTTTATTTTCTGCCTGGTTTCGTTCATTTTGTCGCTGCTTGTTCCCATGTTGTTCCCATGTTGTTGCTTTACTGACTTGTACATCTCGGCTCTTACATTTTCTGATACCTCCGCAAGTCTTTATCAAAATGGGTTTCGGTGTCACTCACTTCATCATTCTTCTATTTACAAAACTACCATAACTAACACTTACATACCTACCTACCCACGAAAAAGAAAATTCACGGCCAACAGAGCCCAAGAACTCAATCTAACAGGATGGGTCCGTAACCGGTCTGACGACAAGGCAAGTTACCACCGACCGGCATCTACATTCTACATTCTACATCTATAACCTGGACTTCTCTCTCTCTCTCTCTCTCTCCTTCAGAATGGTTGCCATGGCATACGTATCTATCTATCTACCTACCTACCCCCTTTTTTCTCGCGGCGTGGCCTTTTGGTCAGTTTTTTTTCTCTCTCTCTCTCTCTCTCTTCACTTTCACCATTCTCTACTACCTACCCTTATAAATTTTAATTACTCCGATCATTCTATGGGCTCAGGTCTGGGTCCCAAATCGATCCCGTGATTTATCCGGAAGTTTGAATAACCGACCAAAACACTAACTAACTGAGCGTTTCGCCTTGTTTTCAATCATTACAGGTCGAAGGAGAAGCCCAAGGAGACGAAACTTCTGTCTCCCAGCTCATCAAGGACTTGAAAAAGGGACCGACTCACGCGCTTGTTTCGAAGCTTGATGTGGAGGACAAAGAATTGGTGGATGGAGAGTCGGAGTTTGAGGTTAGGAGGGGTTAAGATGATTTGATTGAGGAGCAGAGATGGGCCATGTGCTTTGACACTGGGAGTGGGAGTTGATGACTTGAAGAACAAGAGGTGTCTTGAAACTTGATGATGGCGAAGTAATGAAGGAAACAAACATATCAATGCTGCGGAAGACAGCAGCAACTGGCTAAACGTAGGCTCCCGTGGACCTGATGTGTGAAAAGAACACGGGGCACAAAATTTAACACATTGCTTCATAACTACCCAGTTAAGCTGATTCATCTACCTTGTCAAATCCAAAAACAAAGATAAATACGAACATCATTATGCTCCATATGCTATCCACAACACCACAACCACACACCTAGTGTGTTCCAAACTCAAGCAGTCTACCCGTCAGACGGTCGGTCCTTTTCATAACGTGATACTAACAAAACAGCTCCCCTGACACCTATAAATTCCTAAAAGTAGTTCCTCCGCCACAGCTATTACTTTTCCTCAGTCCTTGGCTCTTGCGCTGTAGTGGTTCTCCTTTCCCTATGCGTGTTATCTCGTGCTTTTTTCCCACTTTCTCTCGCCTCTATAAAACCAAGGCTGATTATTGATAATACTGTTGAGTGGATATTATGCTTTTTCTTTCTTTCTGCTTTTAATGCGCTGTCTCTGTTCATCTCTTGTCTCTTTCACTGACTCTCCGACTGTCTTGCCGCCACAAATACAACCATCTAAGCAAACGTCATGGAAATCTCCTTCTCCTTTCCAAAGTTGTCGTCATCATCAAAGTCCGCCCAAGGATTATTAGCCGCCGGGAGAACCGGTACCGTCTGCGCTGACTTGATCTCCGGTCTCGCCGGGGCTGATGCCGAAGCCGAAGCCGAAGAAGCCCCATAACCCGTTGAGCTTGCTGTATTTCCATATGACGACTGCCTGTCGCTGGCAGCACTTGGCTTGGAGTGAGGGGGAGGAGACGCTTCAAATGCCGTGTCAAAAGTCATTTGGATCTCGGCGTCATCGTCATGTTTACCAGCACTGTAACCGTAATCATCCGCTCCGAACCCGCCTCCCCCGAACCCGCCCTTCGTATAGCCAGCGCTGTAATCGTACTGACGGGAGGAGCTTATTGATGGTTTGGGTGATGAGTTCCAAGCATTTTCCTCTTTGCGATCGTTCGACAACGAAACGGTAGACTGGTGCCTATTGTTGTATTCAACACTAGAGAACCCTCGATACGGCGGGACCGCCCCGAGGCTGGCACTCCTGGTCTCCCTCAGGTGGTCTCGCGTGCCCTTTATTACCGGCGCCGGCGGGCCGAGAGGAGGCGGCACGTCCAGCTTCATGGGCGGCAGGGTGCTCTTGATCTCCTTAAACTGAAGGATATCCTCATTAATGCCGCCACCGTTTTGGGAGCCGTTCTTTCCTTGCTGTTCCTTGGCCTCCTTGGCCAGCTCGGCGCGGATGGCGTCGACGTCGAACAGCACGCCGTGATTATTACCATCCCTATCCTCCGTCTTTCCGCCGCTCCCGGACGCGCCACTGCCTCCCGCTTTGGTCGAATCCTCGTAAACCTCCCATTCCTGCCTCTTTGGCTTCTTCTTGAAGAAGCTGAAAGCGCCGCCGCTCTTACTGCCCGATCTTTCTCTCCCCTCCCTTTCGAGCTCCTTTCTCGCCTCTTCGATTTCATTAATGAGTTCACGCTGCCTCTCCTGGTGGTTCTCCGGATCTGGCTCCTCGATCTCGACGAACTCGTCGTTTTCGATCATCCAACCGCATTCACGAAGCAACCGCGGCATCGCCGTACGGTAATCCATGTGACCCACCACGAACTCGGTGACGTCAAAGTTTTCTACCCCGGCAATCCCCTCGATGGGGGCAAGACCGCCAATCCGCCTGATACCGCCGTTGGTCAAACGGAAAAGGTACCCCAAGATCCAGTCGTTGCGGTTATATCCGTTGACAAAGCGCCCAGAGACCACGGCGCGCGCACGGAGGTATTCATCCGTCTTTACGACGATGGGGCTGCCGAAAAGATAAACGTTCTGGACGAGACCAAAAGCGCCCTTCCTGGCGAGTTCCTGAAGGCAGGAGTAGATAACGCGGCTACCCAGGGAGTATCCCACAAGGGTGACGGGGCGGGTACCCAAGTTGCGGTCAATAAGTGAGTCCGCGAGAATGAGACCAGCTGCCGTGGCACGGTCGAGGGATACAGCCCAAGGGTTATCAATTAGATAGGAGAGCTTGGTAAGCACGACTGGCAGCTGAATGGCAGACATCAAGCCCATTAGGATGGTGCTGCCCAGGAGCTGCTGGAGACCTTGGGTGAGGGCCTACGAACGAGTCAATACCACTTCCCTCCGTCATGACTAGTTCGGAAAACGAGCGCTTACCTCTGTGGCCAAAATATTAATGGTATCTCCCATACTCGTCAACATTTCCGGCTCCCAGAGAACGGAGTAAATATCACCCATCAGCGGATCCACCGTACTGAACGGCAACCGGACGTCATCCACCTTTCCCGTCATCCATCCAGACACCGTCACGATTAAATTAACCCGCTTATTGTTGTGTAGAGGCCTATACTCGAACGTCTTGACGGCGCCCGTTCGCCTATTTGCCGCACGGACACCGATGATGCTACCAGATGCCGCGGCCGAGGACGTGATGATGGCAGCACCTCCGGCGCCAGCAAGGAAGCCGGTTGTTCCACCAACACCAATCGTTGTGAAGCCGGCAGCCAGGCCAGCACCGATCACAGGGGCAAGCAGACCGGCAGACAAGCCGATAACCAAGCCGCCGCCGACAGTTGCCAGGCCCATCATGATGTAGCGTTTCTTGAGGGCCATCTTGCGTCGGTTCTCCTTGTGCTCTTCTTCGTTCCAGTTCTCCTTCTCGACAGCCTGTTGCATCTCCAGGGCGTCTGTCACTTTCTTTTCGAACCGGCAGATGTCAACCCAGGGAATCTCCAGATCCTTGGCGACTCTCTCGAGTAGAGTTCTTGACCTAGCGTCGTAGATGGAATCCGCAACAAGGACGAGGAACAAGTCGCACAGTACCGTCCACCTTAAATCGATATCAATCTTTTGCGAGGTTGGCATCTGCGACGGCATCCTGACGTCCTCGGTCAACTCTGACTTGTCTTCCATCGAGTAGGGTGGTGGGGGCTCCGCGGGCGATTCCGAGTCAGGAGACTGGGGCATCGAGTTGGGACGTGATGATTTCGCCGTAGATGTTGTCGAATCTCTTTTGCTAGCTTCGTCGGCCATGGGATTCTTGACCCTTGCGTTTGCCATGAGCACTGGGGTCAAATCCTGAGGCATGACGCCGTGCGCAGCAAGCTGCTCAATCATGATTTGCTCGTCCGGGCTGATGTCCATGTGCGAGTACAAGCGCATCATCATCTTCTGACTCCACATCTTCATGCTTTCGGCGGCGAAAGTGACTTCCTTCTTTGGCTTGCTCCTCCCTTGCTGAAGATGGTCCACCTCCTTTACCATGACTGACAGTTCCAGCCTCGTCAAGCCGACATACGCAATCCTTTGGCCCTCTGTAAGTAGCTCCTTGGTAGCCTGAAGTTGGCTGACGGCGTCACGCTGTACGTCGTCTTCCTCTGCCACGCCTGTGCCTCCCCCCGGGTCTTTAAATAGATACTGAGTGTTCTCATCCATGCTCGTCTGGGACTCGGCGTCGTCGTCGAGGAGGACCCTGGTGTATCCCTTGCCTGCACCGCCCAGTCCCGCGTATTGGACCTTCTCTTCCTCCGAGTCCTCGTGTTCTCGTGCAATCAGCTTGTTGTCGTCATCGTAGATATCATAGGGCGCATATGCCGGCATTTCCTGCCATTCGTCGTCCTCGTCCTTCTTCTTCTCCTCCGGGGGCTGGTTCAGAGTCAGCTGTTGATGGGAGAAGCCAGACGTGCCAGCTACGCCAAGAGCCCCGGCGCCCCCCATGGCGACAGTGCTAATCTCGCGGCGATGGCCCGGAGGTAACTCTTGATCTTTCCTGACTTCGGCTATGGCCAAATCTTCATACACGGGTGGCTCATCCGCAGCTGCTGGTTTCTTCACCGACGCGACTGTATGTTCTTGGGTGTTTGTTGTCTTGGTATCCGTGGTTAAAGGCTCGGACGGCATCTCCGGAGCTTTCGAAGTGGATATGCTCGGATTCCGAGAAGCCGGTAGGGCTGTCGAGGATCCGCCTTGTTGGCCATCGTGTTCGCGTTGAGCATCTGAAGAGAGTTGCGGCGCCCGCGCATCGCTGGTTCTGTTTTCGCAGTCCAGATCGGGCTTGTCGGATCCGTTCTTATCGTGGCTGCTGTGGGCGGCGATGTTTGATTCCTGCTTGTCTGAACCCTTATCTGTGGTCGTCGTCTGTTCGATACCTTGCGCGCCATTGTTCGTGGGCTTCGCATCCTTGACCGAGGCCGTCGTTTCCGGGATCGCGTCTGGTCGTGGTGTTGCAATCACAGGGGCTTGGTATTTCCTAATGGGCAAGCCGAAGTCGTCGAGCTCAGGCGGTTCTTGGACGGGCGCGGCATCGTTGCCAGGTTGTGACATGGCTGTGGCATTCTTTTGTTGTTGCGTAGAGTCAACCCCGGCGTTGACCCCAGTTACCGCGGCTTGTTGGTGGTCGTCGCCAGCCGGGCCTGCACCGAGTCCCGGCATGGCGTGTATCTCTATCGAACTCGGTCACTGTGATGAATTGGTGGCGGCCCAAACACGCGTGTTGGGCTGTTCCTTTGGCCGAAGTCCAAAGACCAAGTTCGGATCGAATTGGGAGTAACCGTCGGGCTGGATTGGCGCAATAAGTCGGATGATGCGAGAGGAAAGTTGAGACTGGCGGGGTCTGGACTCTGGACGGGATGGCGTTCTGTCACGGTAGTACACTAAGGTACAGACGGAAGCGTAGGTGTGTCGGGCTGATGCGGTCCCGGGTGCGTTTCAAAGGATGGAATGAGGTGCAGTGGGCAGCAACTGGACGCAATCACCTGCCTGCACACATCCATCGACATTTTGGCCTGTCACTTCCGCTTTGGAGTGGAGATAACGTACCTGCTGCCCGCTGCAGTCTCCCCACCATTACCCCTGTCTCAGGTTTAAGTTCAGGGGCAAGGGTTCGTTGACGGGAGACATTTCCTAACGCGCGTCGCCTAAAATCTCCAGAGCATCAACAACACAGATGCCAACCTCGGTCAAGATATACCGAGATGTTGAAATATCCATCAGTTTTACGTAATGTCGAACCAGGGTTTCCTTACGGCTCGCTCTCAGGTACATATTGTCCGAATTGTCAGTTCTTCGCTCCGGACCTTCATAGAGCATGGCCGGGTTCGAACTCCGAAGACAACAGGAAGCAGGTCGACAACGTCGTTGTCTGGTCCGCTAGGTGTCAACTCAGGTAGTTTCGTTAGACGCTCAAAGTTGTGACAATGAAAAGCCGACCGCTTTGTATGGCAGGTGGGCTACATTGTGTTGGATTCGGCTTATTGTTCTCACAGGCTCGACGATCACATATTAACGGCTCTTGTCTTGGGAACTTTTTTGGTTCTCTCGATTTTAAGTTTTATGTTCATCACATCATGAGCTTATACGATGGCCAACTATCTATGTACAGCCGGGTTGGTTTGTTCTCATCATCTCCTGCTCCCAAACACCCACATACTTTTTCTTACCCGTTAATTTTCACTGACACCTTTTAGATATAGACGTAGCACAGCGGATCTCCGGTAAGGGTATTCATGATATCCTTGATAACCACCGGCGGGAAGTCAGGGTGGACGACGATGGATTCGTCTACCGTAACATCCGGGGTGGGTGGGCTGTTAAGGAAGGTATGGGTTCCAGAAACGTTGAACAAGCGGTTGGCGGGATCCAAATTCTGCCAGATCCACCATACGCGGTCGATTTGGCCGTGGTGGAGATAGAAAGCCGGGTCGCCGTTGGAGAGGAACACATCACCAGCGGGATCACCGCCAATGGACATGTGGCCACCAAAGTGCACGCCTTGATCGCCGACGAAAGGGGCAAAGCGCGGGTCATTATCGAAGCGAACATCGTTTGCCTATAAGGAAAGGAAAGCGACGAGTTAGCCAGTGGTCTTCTGACCATATAAGTGAGTGACTGCTTGGAGAGAGAGGCCGGACGCACCAAAGCAGCCTGGAAGATATCAAGCTCGTTGCTCTGCAGAATCAGGTTCGTGGTGTTGCGGAAGTTGGCGTGTTTATGAAGAAGAACGCTGTTCAGATCACGCTTGAGACAGCGCGTGTTCTTGAGGTTAGGGTTTTCCACGCTTGTGTAAGTGGACGTTCCCCAGTCGGTAAGCAACACGGGGCCGAGGTGAGTCTCCAGACCCCCGAAAGGGCCCTTGGTGACGCAGCCACTACCGTTGCCAGGAGGATATGTCACAGCCGGGTACTGGTCGGGCCAGAGGGTCATGTTGTAGCCCTCATGAGGAACGCGGTCACCGTCAGCGCCAAGGGAAGCGTCCGAATCGTCGAATACGGGCGACTTGCTAAGGTCTCCTTCGGTATCAAAACCCCATTCCCAGTAAGGGATGGGACCTGCGAAGTTACGGTTCATGATTAGTATATATGGGAAAGGTTACTGTGGTTTGGACGAAAAGGAAGTAGACATACCCTTGTACCCACAGGCTGCTAGTTGCTGCTCATAGGTGTGGAGGAGGTAGCGATGCCAGGGAAGGAATAAAGCCTGTCACATATACGATTAGAGACCGATCGGTTGCGCCGTGAGGAAGGTTATTTACCGAAAAGTGAACCTCAAAAGTTCTGTTTAGATGGATCCATTGGAGGTCTTCATAGGCCGAGGTAGTTCCCTCAACTTCTTGGAAAACACTTGGTTTCTTCTGTAAGCACTGAACGGCGGCCACGTACTTTCTCCGCTGGCCAGGAGGGATTGTGCGCCTATGTTCTCAACCGTGAGTATTTTTATTTTAGGCAAATCCGCTGTTGCGGCTTTGGTTGAGAATACTGATTATAGTACATACCATTCTTGCCTAACTTTGTAGTCAGACTTCTTGCACTTTCCCTTGAAGGCCTTCATGGCATTCTGGGTAGCAATCTTGTTGAGAGCAGCGAGAGCCGACCCCGAGTCAATGTCATGCTGACTGAACTTTGGCAGATTCAAAGCAGAGGCAGCTCCGGCAAGAGCTGCCGAAACGCAGATGACGGACTTGATGTGCATGATGGGCGACCTCACCTCTCTCGTGAGTTAAATCTTGGAGGTGATGGGAGAGGCGAAGGAAGATACTGGCTGACAGAAATCATCTCTCACGGGTGCTTATATACTTTCAACAGAAATTGTTTTTAACTATTTATTTCTGTCAAAGTCGGTATGGCCCCGTTGAGGTCGGCCCGGCCCCGTCTCGTACTCGTTCGCGACCTGAGGCGATAGGACGCCAGAAGGCATTCGCGTGTGGACAGATACCATGGTACTGTGTAAATGCGAAGCTATTTCTGCATGATCTTACCACCTACTGGTAGCCTATTCTCACGCTCGAGACTTGGCTTGTATGATCCTCGCCGTGTTATTGCTGGGGAATAGCTCAACTAGTGAGAAAAAGGAAGAAAATGTGGGTAGGTTGGCATCTGGACTGTCTAGAGGCGTGGGTAGCGATGGCAAGCGAATCCCAAAAGAGTTGGTATTGTGTGGTTGAAAGTCTGTGCATACAATCGGCCGTATGTTGCTACCACCATCAAGTTGGCTGCGGCCGCTCTACCAAACTATTTGAACTTCTCATGTAAAAATTCGTACTCATAGTAACCTTGAGCGGCCTTTTCATAAGAGTCTGATATCCTTTTCTCCTTCAGTCAGAATGCTTCTTCATTAAAAGGTCTTCACGTAGTCAAGGGGCTGGTCTTCGACACTGTTCATGATGAGGTTCTTACACATAACACTGAATATGGCAGCTCGGCAGCTAGTCGAAAAGACAATAGCTTCCTTTGAGGAAGAGGAACTTGCCGGCGATGGTCCTTTGGGTTATCTGCTCCGAGCAACTCATCCAGTGTCAGCCAGTCCTGTTCATGACAACACCAGCAGGGGTTTCTGGGCTTACTCAACAACTACCACCTCGGCTGTGATGGACTACCCTTTTCAAGTTTGGAGGATAGGAAAACACACAAAACAAAGTAGCGCCCCGGGATTTGCCCCCCTGCAGCGGGAGCGCGAGTCCGGGACCTAACCGCCCGCGCGCCCACATCGTCCCTCGTCGGGCCACGGACCCGGGTTCGAGAATGGCTTAGTGCTATGCAACGTCACCAAACGATATGTCTTGGAGGAGACAAGCAAGTACCGTTGTGGCGTTTTCTCAGGTACTGCATATACCAATTGGTGCATATTTATTTAGCTACAGAGTCCTACAAGACTGCTGGGAGAGCGGTACGGGTTCTGCATATCTTCTGTTTAGTGCACAGTACTCCAACGGCTTGAATTACATGCAAAATTCGGGGTAGGAATTCACTTACCAGCACCATGTTCCGAGTTCCTGCCGGGACAGCTGCATACAGTTCACACCGCACATCTGGCTATCGCATCCTCCCATCGCTGCTTCTAACTTAAGTCACAGCATACATCCTGAACTGGTACTGTAGAAATAGCAACCAAAAAATTCGTGGGAGAGCAGAGCCAGGAATCGAACCCAGATACTTGTACCCCATCGGGACCTTGGGCCACATGGCTGAGATTTATCCACCAAGATCGCTCATCATGTCCTCGACCACCGTACCGTTCCTGCCGTCCTAATGAACAATCTTGTCTGCCTCGAATGTACTTCCACTCATACACGCTGGTCATCTTTGAATTCTCCTTGTATTCTACTAGATCACGCCTTATCTAACGAAAGGCGCCTTTGAGAAACGAGTAAAGGTATATACACATAACGTACCATGCAATGTACCCCCTCTCACGCTTCAACTGAGAGGACCCCCAAGATGGAAATCCACAAGATTCCCATTACCACATGCCAGCAGGTGCCAGGTAGCTATCCACCTTCCTCTTCTTGGCCCACTTTCGGCAGTGCCAGGCCTGCCGTCTTTTTTAATGATCATGGTACCGGTATCCGTGAACCGAACAGTGGTGACAAGATACCGCCTTGGCATATATATCCGTATGTCGGTATTACAGGAGCGGGCAATGGTGGCGCACGGGTTGATAAAAGCCGTTCCCAATGGTCATTGTTGCAGCCCTATCACCCGCACCCATAATAACTCCATTTATTCGACCCCTAACCGGACGATTCACTCCTCCTTGGCAGCCGCCTCCCCTTGACCCTGACCCTCGCCGGCCGCACCATCTCCACCCTCCGCGGCGCCGCCGGCGGTTTTCTTGCGCCTCTTCCGCTTAGCCTTGCCCTCCGCCGTCGATTCCGCATTTACGTCTGAGGGTTTCTTCGGTTTTTGTTGCTGGTCTGATGGCGATTTCTTCTGCTTCTTGTCGTCTCCCTCGTTCTTGGCCTTCTTCCTAGCCAGGGGATTTGGCTGTTTGGGGCCGTAGTTCTTCTTTTTCTTCTTCTTCTCCGGTGCCGCGGAACCTGCGTCTGGAGCAGCAGCATCTCTCAATGACTTTTCCTTCTTGGCTCCCTCGCCCTCGGCCTCGCTGTCGGAATCACCGCCTTCGGAGGCTTCTTCCTCTTCGCCGTCTTCTATCTTTCTCTTCAGTGGCCTTCTGATGATACCATCCTTGAACCTGTAGAGCGTGTTAGTATTGGAGAAGGTCGGGAAGGTGTGCGTGGTTGACGGTTGGTGAAAACTTACTTTTGACGCTCCTCCCTGTCTCTGATTTGCTGTGATGCGTCCGACATGGGCTCGAGGATCATGACACTCCTGCGGCAGTACATCAGTGGCGTAGGAACCACCGACCTCAACCTGTGCCTCTGTTGAAACGAATAAGTCAAGTTAGCAAACGCTCTTTATGTTCATAGAAAGTTCCATTTTTCTTTCCCGGAACAATGACTTACCAACCACTCATCATTGCTCGCCACCACATAACGGAACTTGTTCTCCCCTTTACCCTTGGGGTCGACAACCGAAAGCATGCACTCGCGCTCGGTCAAAGGGTCCTGGTCCATCATATGGCCGCAGCGTCTCCTCTCAAAGGTCTTGGCGCGCTCGATGGCAGCGGGCACGTTCGGGTCCCGGTCGGGGCCGGGCTTGTTCTTTGCGTACAGGGCGCGGATGCAGCACTGGGTGATCATGGGCTTGATGTCCTTGGTGTTGAGCGTCTTCTGGAACAGGTTCATGACATCAAGCTTGACCGTATCGAGCACGATGTCGCTAGTCAGGAGCAGCTGATAGGGCTGACGGAAGCCAAGCTGCTCGAACGAGCGCATCAGCTTCTTGTAGGCCTTCCTGCTCTTGCCCATTGTGAGACTGTTGGCGGGGTTGTAGTCGACTGGGGTACTCTAAAAATGTGTGTTTGGTGGTCGTCGAGAAGGATGGACGGCCAAATCGAATTGGGGAATAGGTGAAAAAGTGAGGTGGTTGTATGGGCAGTGAAGTGAGGTCAGATCGATGTTTCCTCTGATGAAGGAGGCCCACCCTCGTCTGTCGGTTTGATGTGGAAGGAAAAACCGAGAAGGAGACAAGAGGTGATCTGAGGAAATGACCCAAATCTCTCAAGAAGACACAAAAATGAATGACCAGATAGTCTCTAGTCAAAGATCAGAGTCGTTTATGAAAAAGGACACGAAAAGTCGGTCCAATTGTCGTTGTCTGCTCCCAACTTCCGTTCACAACCAGATCTTCATAAAACTTTCAAATTGACTTCCTAGAAAAATTTCCAGGCAGGCAATTGGCCCAGGATGTTTTGGCAGCTTGGGTGGTCCGAGCGTAGCGCAACCCCCCATCGTGGAAAAGCATCGAAATGCCCCACATCCCGCTCCCAGCTGCAGCCCCGAACCTGCGCTGAGCAGAAGCCCCTGCGTGCGCTGGAAGCCAGAACATGTCCACTTGTCAGCCGCATTGGACCCTTGACTTTGGAGATCTTCCTCCCACGTGCAAAACATCACCCCGTTTCCGTTTCCGAATGCAGTGCAAGATAACTCGGCTGTTGCAATAGACGTACGTATAGATCGATGTCTTTGTTTCGATATGGGCTGTATTGTCTGCGTTCAACAAGACGGTCGGTACCAGCTGTACCTATCGGACACACAATCCGCTGTTGCAGGGGCAAGCCTATCTAGAGTAGAGAGACACAATGGTACCTCTGCGGATAGTTCTCTCTTTTGTCTGGACAATACCAGCTTTCCCAGGGAAGCAAGAAGTGCAATGTTGCCTCTTATAGAGTTAAGCTGCCACTGATAACCCACACCAAACGCCGTCTCGCTAACTCATGGCTCGATCCTCACTGCCTGCCGCTTGCTTTCCATCCACCTCGCCTCTCTGTCTACCATGAGGTTCCCGCTTTGAAAACCAACACCTTGAAATGTATTCCTCAGAAAACCAATATGTAAGTGTGGAAATTGCAAGATAATATGAACGTACAACCCAAGAGAAGCCGCTCAAAAAGTAGTAGTAAGCAAACCAAAACCTATCTGGAAACTCCATGCTGTGTAGGTCATCTCCGGTAAAAACAGCAGCCATCTTTCCTTTTGTCCCGAAGCCCACCCCTCCAAAGAAACCCAACAAAAGAAAACCCATATCTATAATTCTGCTTCGAAAACGAAGAAAGGCAACGGAGAATGTTCAAACAGTAACTGGTCGTCAATCGTTCCTTTTGCAAATAGCTGCAACGACGCTGATATCGTCTGGCTTGCCTGTCAAAATTTCCCATGTTAGTCATACCGTACGATCCTGTGTGGCTTGGGGGGAGGAATCAAACTTACCACCTTCACTGGCAAGACCTTCTTCAATAGCATGTTCCATAAATGGACTCTCCGCGTACGGATCCAGAGCAATGGCCTTTGCCGCTTCCATCAATTCCTCCGCCACGAAGCCCATCATGCCAGCATCGGTGTCTAGCACGGTCCCCCGTAGAGCGCTCTTGGTCACCTTCACTTCACCCGCCCTCCATTTGTCTATGCACTCGCATACCTTCTCCGAGATTTCATGGGACCAAAGGTTGTCGATAACGCCATCCGACATGGCGAGTACAACATCTCCTTCCTGTATTGGCACCTCGTCCACCACCGCAATCGTACGGGGGGTATCTGGACTGTTGGTGCCCAGTTGACGCGGGCAATCGAACCAATGCCACTGCTCGGTCGACTTGTAGACGATTTCCCGTGTTGACGGCCGCACAACCATCACCTGCGAATCGCCAAGGTTGGTGACGTAAAGCAACGGCTCCACATCGCTTCTTCCGCTGTTGTCCGTTTTCTTAGTCTCCCCCTGCTCTTTAGCGTCGCCAGTGCTATCGGCGCTCTGATAAGACGACCGATCCCCATCTGTCAGCTTCGTGACACCTCCACTTGCGGGACCCTTGTCAGACTCAGCAGCGTCCTGACCGGGTTCTCCCAGCTTGCGACGGTAATGTAGCTGTGCGCCCGCGACCGTCGTCGTGCCTTGCCAGTCGTTCGGTGATGCCGTCGCTTCCATTGTTTGTTCGTACGCTTTTTGCAAAGATGCGATCGGGTCGGGGCGGTAGGCGTCTCCTTGCCGTACGGCGTCCTCGAAAACGGCGCTGGCCCAAAAGTGTAATATCAGTCGGGACCAGAGGCTGTAGGCGCAACCGGGTTCATGTCGGTTAGCAATCTGTAAGTGACTCTCCAACCCCGGACGACCGGGACGGCAAGTGACGTAAAAGAATTCCCAGCACCGTCAACGGGAGAAAAGGGCCGAAAGAAAACTTTGACAAGAGGAAAGGGGCGGTAATCGAGGAATAGGACTCACCCAGCATGCCCTCGGGGTCGTGTACTCCATGCGCCCACGCCGTCGTTTGCGCAAACGAAGTATTTGCTAGCAAATACAGCATCGTCGCCATTGGTATAACCTCGTATCAACTTCCCATTGACATAGGCTGCGCGGCGGTCTCGACTGCGATCGTGCGTACTGAGAGGGTCGCTGAAAGAACCAGAGGGTGGCGAGAGAAATGGTGGTGGGAAAGGACGTGGTGGTCGCTTGGCGTATAGACCAATGCCGGTGTCGAAGCGGAACGGAAGCTTGGGGAGCTCTTCCTCGGCGATGCCGTCCTCATGTAGTCCAACAGGTGACTGCTCGTCATGGCCAGCTTCTTCAAGGCCAGGAAGTGTTTCGGTTGGCGCCGTAGAGGATTCCTGAGCGATCGTGGGAGAGGGGACTGGCGCGGGTTGTGTCATTGTCGCTGGGACGAAGCGTTGCCAGCCCTGAAAAGAAGCCGGCACGCTGTTGCTGCCATTGAGGGTGGCATGGCCATTCCACAATGACTCGTGATCGTGGTCCCTCCCTTAGGTTCCGAAGGCTGGTTTTCGCGATAGAAGACGATAGTAAGACGGGCACAGCGCCCCGCGGGCTTGCGTGTGGTATCGAGGCCAGCAGTCGGGGAGGTAGTCTCCTCATTCCAGTGGCGCGCGATCGAAGTGATTTATGGTGATGCTGAGGGGCAGCATCCGAGGAGAGAGGAAGAGGCCCTGTGGAGGGGTATCGTAAGGTAGTAGTACGTAAAGAAGGAGGGAAACGAAGGGCTCCAAGCAAAGTGCGCACGGCGTTGGTTCTATGTCAAGGAAGACTCCTGACCTGACAAGTCCAGAAACGACAGTAAAGAAGGGAAAAGAGTCTCCGGGTCAGAAGGCATTGGATGGAAACTTTCAGGTTGGTGACTGGTGGTCCTTCCCAGATTTCTTGCCCTTTTGGGGCGCCTGGAGGGACGGTTACAGGCTCGGCAGGCAGGGCTCTGCACTACACTACCGCAACAGCACAGGGGCCCCTTATCTTATCGCACATGAATAGGTGCCCGCCTCTCGACGCTACTGCGTGAGCATATGTAGCTAAAAACCTACTAAGAATCTCGCCCTGCTAATAATACCACCGAACGGCATTATTCACCGGAACATCGGGAATCTTTCCAGGGGCTCCAAGGTTGGTAACCATGCAATCCAAATCTGTACGGAGCGTGGGCCGTCGCCGTGTACTGCGCGTAGCATGCAAGTGTAGGCACGAGCGGATCGTTTCTGACGGGATTACCCCACTGTTAACGTTACCTGCCCTGCCGCATCTGGTGATGCCTCTTCGTGTCCAGGAACACTGGTCAGTCTGGTACTGTGATAAGCTCGAGTAGTAAGCTGAAACTGCTCAAAACATCGTTCGATTGTGAATGGTAGCATCATAGAAAACGCGTTTGAAACATTTCAGTCAGGGTCGTCCATCTTGTTGTGCCTGAGAATGTACAAAGTCAAGTTAGCTTCATACGAGATGGAATCCCCATTTTTTGCACCTAGGATCGGGAACGCCCGTTAGCCTGACTCGTCTGATCGACATGAGACGAAAGGCATATTCACGACTTCTTCCGACTATAAAATTTGACATTGGATACCTCCAATTCCCGGATGGTGGCCGCGCCTTATGGTACCCAAAAGTCTAAGATTGAGTTTCCTTGATCACCCCCACCAAGATAACTAGACGCTATCCAAGAACAGCTTGCAAAGCCTAAAAGGCTTCTGGTGATGCTAACCCAAACTTATCCAAGAGAGCAAGTCGAAAAGGAGACAGCATATGACAGATAACAGGAACGAATTATTAATGTATTCAACACAGCTTTATCAAGGGTTTTAAACCCGCACCTATCCAACACGCCATGACTTATGCAAATCTGCCACCGATACCAACAGCCAAGGATTCCTCCAACATGTAAATAAACCAATGACTTATACAATCCCCATGCCATCTATCACTATCCAAAAACCCCATGCGTATTCTGGCAAATAGTATTCCTAAACAACCGTACGCCAAACAATGCACCCAAAAACATTTAACTTCGAACAAGTACTCGCCTCTGTTGTTTCTGAGCCCAGATATGATTTCATCTGCCCCCCTCAAATCCTTAATTGTCCTCCCAGCATGAAAGATCTGGCCTTAGTATTGCATGCGCCCTGGTGTTGCCGGCCTGCCGGGCATCCCGCCTGGCGCATATTGACCGTTCGATGTCGACTGAAGCATAGAATATTGAGCCTGACTGTTTTGAACACCGACATTGTAGCTCGAAGGAGACTGAAGGGGGTGAGAACCATGTGACATATCCATGGGGGAACTTGCCCACACGGCGCTGCCTGCTCCGTATCCTGTGGCAGTGGGGTCACCGAGGGTGTATGAGCTTTGCTGCGCCAGGAGCTGGGACCGAGGTCTGGGCTGGAGGGATCCGTAACCAATGTTGGGCTGTAGAGGCTGATTATACCCCATATGATTCATGTGCCCATTATCCAAGCCATTCATGCCGAATCCGTACACAGAAGCAGCACCGTTGCTCACCACTCCTGGGTTGAAATGCCCAGAAACACGATGTGCCTGCTTCTGGGCGTATGCGGCCTGCGCTGCCCGTTGTGCTTGTTGATTTTGCTCTCGTTGTCGTTGGTCAATGGCGAGCGCAACAGCTTGACCACTTACTCCTTGCCGCATCTGCGCTCTTTCTCTTTCCCTATGCTGTATCGCACCTACGAGGCCGGCTTTCGGTTGGGGACCATCCTTATTCCCAGCCATCGCAATCAATGGAGTTCCAGTGACACGAGCGACATATTCTTGCTCACGAGCAGAGAGATGAGACGAACCCTCAGCACCTGACAAGATGGCTGCCGATCCACGACTTGCCGGGCGCGCCGGTGTAAGCAGTTCGGCAGGGCCACGACTTGCTGGGCGTCCTGACGAGAGTAGGTCGGCGGAACTGTGCCTCGAGTGGCTACCACCGTAGGCACCAGGTCGTCTCAAGGGAGATGAGGGGGTCGCTGCTCTAAAGTCGGTGATTGTTTGAGACGACGGGCTGCGCTGATGTACAAGGACGGGAGTAGAAGGAGCGGCCGCGCGTTGTTGAACAAACTGTTCCGGGGAAACAGCATTGTGGGCTACAGTAGCCTTCAGACCAGAACTAGGCTGCCACGGAACAGTTCGGCGGATAGTATCATCCGAGTCTTGGCGGAAGTGAGAATACGAAGCACCAGGTCCCGGTGACTTTCTACCGGTATTAGGAGAAAAGGACCGGTTTGGCTGTGCGCTGGATCCCGTGGGCTTACCGGAAGAAGTCTTCATGGCCGAATAGTTGAAAGTCGGCCCAAAATTGATGTCAATCCCAAGATCAGTCTTCCCACCGTTGCTGGTATTTCCGTCATCTAGAGAAACCGAGCTATCACCAACGACTTTCAAAACTCCAGCACGTGGTCGTTCTCGGTCTGCCGATTCCTGCGTGTCCACGGATCTGTGGGTGCTAGCGTAGTCCGGGCTCGCTGTAGATGCGGCATCAATGGACCGGCTGTCCGAATAACTTTGCATGCTGTTTTGTCGTTCAAGCATACTTAACCACAGACTGGCATCTTCAATCTGCTGGTCAAAGCCTCCGGCCCCCCGCCCCGACCGAACTTGCAGTGACGAGGCAGAGTCTTCAGATAAGCGACGGAGGACTGGCGATCCTGGTGGGAGAGGTTTCCTAGTTACCGGTGGGGATCTTCCTGGCATATTGGATCGCGGTGGTCCTTGGTTATGGGGTGGGGTACGTCTGCTCTCAGTTGTTGTTCCTTGGTAACTCGTCATCGGGGGAGTACTATCGGAAGAACGGATAAGGGAAGCCGTGGAAGGGTGTTGGGGTGATCTCATGTGTGGCGATGTAAGCCCTGGGGAGGGACCGGATGGGCCGTTGTTCGTCGGCGAAGGCGATGTTAGAGCTTGACGAGTTCCAATAAAATTAGCATTCATCCTCATGGGTTTGACGCTGGCTTGTGGCTGTACCGCTGGTTGCCCTTGTGATTGGCCTCTGCCTTGTTCAGGGTATCTGTCAAAATCGTTTGGGACCGCATCCGAAGGCAAACCGCCTTGTGTGGCTATCTGCGATAACGTCGTGTTTGACAAACGATTGTGTGCTCTGCGCATCTCGGGTGAGTGGTAAGGCTTTTGTTGCGGTCGAGAGCCTGCACTATGCGCGAAGGCTGGTGGAGCGTTGACCGGCTCTGGTGTCTGCATCCGTTGAATTTCCTGGAGGTCGTTGGTTACCTGGCTCCTCGCGGGGCTTTCGTCCTCTGAGCTGACTCTCTCGGGAGTAGACGCCAAATCACTAGCAAAAGTCCTGGCACGCTCGGGGCCTCGCATATTGGGCTGCGGGGCTCCGGGACCATCCAATCCATTGGCAGATGCAGCGTTAGCAAGTTGTGTATCAGAAATGTTGCGGGAATGGCGAGCATGTCCAGCCATTGTCGATGATACGGGCTCCCGGTTGGGGTCCGGCGGCGCCGAGTCCGTCCTTTGGGTGGGCCTGGACAGTGAGAGAGACCGAGATGATCTGACGGAACTGCCCTCCTCCGCAAAACCTACACGTGGTTTAGAAGAGGACGCTGGGTTCTGGCCAAAGCTTAGCCGCTTGCTGCTGCGACTCGCGCTTCGACTGTGACTCCTAGGCGCATCTTCAACGGCATTCATGCGCGTTCCTGTCAGTTCCTTCATTTTCTTCTTCCACTGCTGCTCGGTCCACGCCGAACTGCCCTCTGTCAGAATCAGGCTGCTGACATCGAGAAGTTCCAAATACCCATATCGCTTGTGCTTGGGCATGGCAAACATCAGAGAGCGTGGGTCAAGCACGCTAGCGACTAGGCGGCCAGGGCGGCCATATAGTGCGAAAGTATCCCAGGTAGGAAACAAGAACCGGAGTAGCATCTCGAAGCCGGAGACAGCGGGGTGAACCTCAGGCATGATGAAGACGAAGCCTTCTGTCGACGATGGCGGTTCCGAGTGGATGGTGATACTTCCCTCAATCTTGACAAGTGTCGAACCATCAATCAACGCCTTTGCCTGTGGGTAAATGGCATACGCTGCATAAGCGTCGGTAATGGAGGCGATCGGTTTCGAGTGCTTCTTCTTCTTTTCTGCGTCCTTCCTCGAGTCGTAAAATTTGATCTGACCTTTCAAAACCGGACCGTGAGAACGATCATACGGGGAGCGCTTCTTGAACTCCTTCTGGGCCTTTTGGACTTCTTTCTCGCTTGGAGGCTCGATGACACACCAGCAGCGTCTCCAGGGGACACCAGCTCCAAATCTGACCCGCACCCATTCTTGGATAGGTGCTTTCGCTCGTTCCATGATGACGCCGATGTTGTTAAGGGATTTGCCCTTTCCAGCAATCAGAGCCCCCGTATAGGCTTCCTGGAGGGTCGAGTGCTCGAAGATGGCCAACCGTATGCCGGACGTCCATTGGATCAAGGAATGATGCGAGTTGAAATGAAGCAAATATCGGTTTCTCCCAGCAGTGCTGATGCTGAGAATGTTCTGGAGGGGTTGTTCGTCGCTTGATCTCGTCGGAAGTGACTCGATCTACATACTTGGTTAGGATGACAATATAGGCAGGGAAACATCAGCAAAACTCCACATACCATTTTGATGGAAGCGTCTGTGAGGTTGATGAACTTGGGGAGGACCTCGCCGTCTTCTCCAGCGGCATCAAGCTCGGCAGCATCCCAAAGAGAGAGTACTGTGCCCACCAACTGGGCAAAGCACTCTGTCCATGTTCGGTCCGGATTAGGTCTCCCCTCTGATTGGGGTTAGTTAGGGTTAGACAGAGTATGGGACGAAGGTGAAGAAGACGCACTTATATCCTGGTCATCCAGCTTCAGGAAGTATCCTTCCTGATACAACTTGTTCGCATGACTGCTGAGCAAAGCGAAGATGGGCTGGAGCTCCGGAATGATCTCTTCGTTGCTTTCCATGAGGGGCCGCTGTGAAGGCAATACCATAGACAAGGGTCGTGAATTGCTCCGTTGTCTCCCCGTAGGACTTTGTGTGAAGGAATCGTTAACAGGCACGGTAGAGCTGACGACGGCAGGCTCTGGTCCTTTATCGAAGGTAGGCGACGGTCTATCGGGTGAGGGATCGCGAGAGTCTCGAAGTTGAGGTGGTGATGGAGCGGGAGTTGGGAGAGAAACGGTCGGGGAATCCGGTTTGGGGTCAGGGTCGTCACGGACACGGAGATCGTTAGGGGGTGTCGGGGTCTTTGAATCCCTGTGGGGTGCCGAGAATTGGGATATAAACGAGAGGACTTTGAATGACGTGCCAGTAGTCAGCATTAATAACGTACGAGATTTGCACATCCAGACACCCATGTACAGTTGTAGTAATGGCTGGGGAGCGGAAATCAGCCCTGACGCAAACGCCGTGGGATGTTCAGAGCACAGCGGCGATCCAGCGAGTTTGGGTAGTAGGTAGGGCAAAGAGGGAAGAGTAGCCAAGTCTAACCAAGTCTACCAAGGTGCCCAGCCCTCTTTACGGGTGACCGGGTTCCAGATTGGCGCTGACCAACGTGGACACGCGCCCTCTTGTACTCCCGCCTCTCTTCCACCGTAGGTGCAAGTCGTAGGGAGCTAACGACGAGACATTTGATGGATGTGTGTGACCGCTAGGAACGACACGGGCAGCGGTGCCGGAGGCCGAAGGAGGTAGGTGGTGGTGGGTGCGGTGACGATAGGAATAGCATGGGCATGATGGACAACAGGAGGTCCGGGAGCTGCGTAGAGGTACCTCTAGCGAGCAGGTGACGGGGTATCATTACCATGCGAAGGTCGAAATGGTGCTGTGATGGTGGTGGTGGAGGCCGCAGCAGATGAAGGGAGAGCAGCTGAGGGGCTGCTGTTGGGGGTGCTGAATCAGGACAATTTGGGGAACGTATACACACCTCGATTTCGACCCATCTTGTGGCCTCGGGACGAAGCTGGTACCTAAGACAACTTCAAACTTTGTACCGGCTGCTCCGTCGTATAATTTTAAACTTCCGATTGCGATGGCCGTGCGACACGGGCCTCCAAAAAGTTAAGAGTGCAACTGGATTTCTTCTCCAGGTAATATGCTGGGGTCGTCGTGAAGCCGATATGGCGAGCAAGGTGATCTGGTAATCGTAGTCGGGAATAACTCTGGCTAGTAAGGACAAGAGGAGCTGGAGATCTCGGGGTAGTGGGGAACACGCGGCCACAAAGATGAAACAAGAGGAAAATCGAAGCAGTTGAAGAAGTTGAGACGGAAGTCGAAGGAGCAGAGGTGGAACGGAATTTCTTTGTTTTGGACTTTTGGTGGCCCTGGTTGCTAAAAGTTGTATGGATGGATGCTTTATGAGCTTCGTATCGAGAAAAAAAGGCGTGCTGCGCCAAGGGTCCAATATACGGAGAGATTCAATGCTTGTGGATGGAGGAGGAGGCTCGGTATTCTTAGGTCATTGATTGTTCTGCTTCCACTGTAACTCCATTGGCAATGTTGGCGGGTGGGGATGCGGGATCGTCGGATGGAGATGGTGCTTGCCCTGATTCCGTACACACTCTGGGCACTTTGTCTTCGGTTGGTGCTGTGCACTCTGTGGTGCCCGTCCAGTTCCGGTCGCCCTGACGTCTGTCAGCAACGAGAGGTCTCCCGTCCCACGTTGTCTGTTTCTGTGCTTCCGCTTTCTGCTTCACGGGCTCGTCTCCGAGTTTAGGAGCACTGAGATGGAGAACCCTGGTAAGTGTGTCCAGGGTATAAAGCTCGTCGGCGGCTACTTTGACAGCTTGATTGCGTATCGATTGTCCGCACTCGAAACTGCAGGACCCGACTATCCGGGTATTGACTGTTGAGGTCCGTGTTGAGGCCCTGCTTTGCTCCTGTTGCCGCTTTCAGGGTCGCTGCTCGGCCTCGTCTTCGAAACGTCGGCGCTTCGGTTCAGTCAGCTCAGGTCAGCATAGACTTGTCGTCGTTTTCGTCGAAGACTTTTTTCCTCGCAAACACTGAATGCGTCCCTGTAGAGCCTGTATAGTTCGATTACAGTCTCAGCAAGCAACTCCTCGAATTTGGTCTCCGGGGTCTGGTGGATGATGTCGTCGTCGTCACATGGCGGCTTGGCGATGCGAAGTGGATAAAGACCAGCCAAGTCTGGCCGGTTCTCTTCGCAGCTGGGGACTGGGGTACGTACCGGGCAGGGAATGCTTCAGTTGGCGTCAGTGCACCGGAAACGATCCCCTAGGCGATTAGAGTTGTTGATAACGGACACCGACTCTCTGAGTCCTCCGCATCTGCCGAATTTTCTGCGGTAACCAAGGCTCTTGAATTTCCTACCAAAAAGAACTAGACGGGAGTCAAGGAGAGCAGATGGTGATTTGGAAGACAGTTAGAACTGCTTGGTATGCAGTGGTGGAAGGAAAGAGAGAGAGGATGGTGCCTTGCTGGAAGAAAGTGCCTGGCTGCATCACTCACAAAGCGAACGGAATGTATCGGGGGAGGCCCGGGCAAGAACGAACAGTAAGAAGCAGGGACCTGACTACCTCTACAAACAGCCTCGACGACAAAAGCGCCCGCTATCAAATCCACCGTGATTTCACAGGTCATACTTCTACCCAAACCTCCCGTCTCGGTAAACTTTCAGCGTCCGAGTACATGGAGCATGCTGCGCTGCGCAAGCATGCATAACCACAAGCACTCTGCGGCAATTGCATATGGCTCATGATTTGGTAAAGTTCAACCCCGAGTCTGAAGGCTCAGAGTCTTGAATTCTTCACAAACTCCAGAACCCCTCTCTCATCGGTACAGCACAACTGCCTATTCCGTACCTACCACTCACTCTCTCGGCAAACCCCCAGAGACCGAATGCGATACGTGTGGGCAGGTCGCTCATCGGAATCCAGCAGGCTTTTCCCCCATCTAGATTTTGACGGGGAGCCTCAAGTCTGCTAACATCGCCAAGTACACCGTCCTGCAAGCCAAGTGATCGACTCATGTGCCGGTCCAGTACATTGAAGCTCATCACATGAATCCATGTACCGAAGCTACTGTACAGAATCCGATTACGGACCTTTCTGCTTGGTTTACTGGCATCGTGTACTGCTTATTTGACCGTCTCCTCCAGGGCAGAGAACAGTGTTGAGCATCGAGCTCTAAAGGACACAAATCGATATGTCCATAGAGTTGTGATAACAAGGTAAACTTATGTGTCGGAGGCGCTTGGCGCTTCATCGGTGACGCCGTAAAGACTTGGCGATTGAACAACGCCTAACCGCTACAAGGAGGATACCTAGACGTTTCCAAGCCTTCCAAGCACGGCATCTGTCTTGTTGACTCCAATGATTAACTACACCCAAGAGACTCAAGAGTGGCTGTGCAACCCTCTTATTAACATCTGTACGCGGGCTGGTCTTCTTGGAGGTTTCAGCCCGTTGCATGTTTCGCAGGTGATGTGAATTCTGAGCAACAGAAGCTAAAGAGAATACGAGGCTTCGATGAAACAGGTGATGCTTCACAGTACATATGTTAGGGCTTATTAAGGTACGGTTGCAGCACTAACCAACTTCGTAACGACTAGACCTAAGTGATGTGTGTAAGACAACAAATACGATTCTATAATACCACTATATGGCTCCATAGAGGTAGTGTAGGTGCTAAATTGCGTCGGGAGATTCGACAGTCAACTGATCTTGCTCGCCTAAAGAAAAACTATTTCTCACCAAGATTTCGGGTTGCAGACGGCGTCACTAGAACAGTCCAGTCTTCGGACGACTATTTATTGGACATCCTTGGACATGCTTGGACCAAGCACATGTTTACAAAACACTACCTATAATTAGTTCTATGAGAAGAGCTCATGTTGAACATTAGTGAGAAGACATGGTTGAGCGCATCAAGACGGGGGAATTCTCAATGTTCAGTGGTATGCGAATTCACCCAAGCTAAAGACAATGAAACACTGGAAGGATTTCATGTTAGTTCGAGACCTCTAATCAACGTCAGTGATTATTTCTTAGCCCGGTTGATGTTTTGATTCCATGACCAAACCCTTAATTTTGATATGAGTATAGCGCTCAAGATCTCGACGATGTATCTCGGTTGATAACTGGGAATTCAACGTCTTGTTGCTCTGACTAACAAGCCAAGCTGGATATGTCTTATTCGGGGTGTACCTAGGTTATAATTCAGCCAATCTTGAAGGAAGTCTCTGAAAACTACTCTAGAAGGCCGTACACTAGTATGTACGTCATATAAAAGGTGATGTTCAAACTTGCACGCAGAGACAAAGATCGATCCTCGACATATCTTAAAGTGACCGATGTCAAGAGAAAAGGCCTGGCGCATGACACAGACACTACCTATTCATCTGTTCCTTGGTCAGGCCGCGTTTGCTGTCATAGGCTCATAGCAAAGGTAATTGGCCCGTCCTGGCAAACCATTCATCGTGATGGCACTCACGCTGTCTGGATCGCAGACAGGTTGAATCCTGCTTTCGGACAGTGAGGTTTTCAAAAGTGATTCAAGACATCATGGCAGATTCAAGTTCCCATGATTCAGCGTCCATGTACACTCCATTCAACCCAGTAGACGGGACGGGTGATCCGCACATGGTTCACAGAGGTGTTCCTACCTACTTGACCACACTCCATGGCTGAAGCGGATGAGACCCAGATCTTTGCCCAGTGGGTGTACATACATACTCCCGCTGATGGCGGGACACTCGGGGTGAGGTAGCACCCCAGAGGCTGAAGAGTAGGTAGGTACCGAACTTGAGAGATCCTGTGTAAGTCGTGTAACACGAGCCCGGAAAGTTAATTTTGCGATTTTGAGCCTTTTCGTTGACGTTGGAAGCTTGATTGAGCCGTGTCCACCAGCTGCAGTGTCACAACCGATCACACTTGGGATTGCCCAATCCTTCAAAGGCTTGTAAGAACCCAATCGCAACTTTCGGGAAGCAGTTATGACGATATATACTCAAAATCTTACTCTTCTGCATTCGACCCTTGGTATAACCCGAACAAGGCCACTTGCCTTGGGACGAGCTACTTCGACGCCTGTGGTGTCTTTGGGGAATCTGACAACGGAGTGAGAGCTGAACGTGGGTAAGTTAGGCAAGTGGTGAATACATACCTTACGGCGAGTCAAATGCAGGCACAAGAGCGGATGTGTTCTCACGGTAGGATGAAGATTACTGTGAGGTATTAATATCAGAACAATACTGACAGGATACGGTTTGGGGGGCACCGCTTGTGCAATAAATAGTATGGTTTCACACTCACTCGACATACCAAGCTCTCTAAGCTGCAGTGAAAAACAGCAAACGGTTCTTGATCCTTTGATTCGTTCACAAGAAGCTTCCTAGGGTTAAATCCCTACCAAATTGACGCGGCGCAAACAAACATCCAGGCTTTCGCTCGTCGGCATCCAAGGACTTAGGACTGTTGAGATGAGATTCTGCACTTGCTGGACGAAGGACCTGTCTGCTCATGGCGAGCCCAACGGTGACGAGTACTGTACGTATATTGACCGGGAGGCCACCGATGTTCCTCCTTCAAAAATCGGCATAACGTTTTTGAACGACAACGAGGTCCATGCTCTGTCACTGGTGACAAGCCGAACCATCGCGACAGGACTGATGGCAGTGCCTCCAAGCCTTCTTCCATTAGCTATAGCCAAAGCCACACCCGGAAAGAACCACAACCTCCCGAATCGGACGCAGGTTTTCTGTGAAAATGGGCGGGCTGCGACGACCGCCTTCTCTTTCGTGCCGAAGCAGAGGTCAAGCACGCAGTTAAGCAAGGGATGATGGTGACCTTTGTGCTAGTCCCGATATGGTGTTTCGTTCTCTGCCGACTCTTCACTGACCGATCACCATTGGGGAGCGAATTGCCCAGGAAGGCGCGATGAAATGCAGATGACTCGCTCAATATCCAGTGAGTACACTTAGGAAAAGCAATAAATGGCTTTGCGTTGCTGTTTGCTCAGTGGTTCTCAAGGGAGGGCTTACATAGAAGAAGGCATTCGGCGGCTGGTCAGAGATATCTGGCTGTTAGGCCCGAACAATGGTCAAGCGGGCAAGAAAGTGAGACGGCGGAATGCCTGGTGTCCTGGCCAAATGACAAGCGCATGCGGCAGCCCCCCCCCCCCCCCCCCCC